GACTCAACACTACCCATAGACTCAACACTGCCCATAGACTCAACACTACCCATAGACTCAACACTGCCCATAGACTCAACACTGCCCATAGACTCAACACTACCCATAGACTCAACACTGCCCATAGACTCAACACTGCCCATAGACTCAACACTGCCCATAGACTCAACACTACACCTCCGATTAGCACGTTTGGCTACGTACGGTGCGAAAGAAGTTCAAGGTACATGCGTCGAAGGGAGTCGAGAGTCACGCGACGCGTCGCGACGAGACGCGGGGAGACATACGGGGGGAGGGAGACAGAGGGAGAGAGACGGGGGGAGGGAGACGGGGGGAGGGAGACAGAGGGAGAGAGAGAGGGAGGGAGATTTAGAGAGATGGGAGAGAGTTGGGGGAGCGGCATCCTGACTGCGACAACTCACTGAGACAACTCACTGAGACAACCCAAACAGCAGGGAGACGGAGTGATGATAAGACGGACAGTTGAGACACAGAGAGACAGAGACACAGAGAGACAGAGACACAGAGACAGAGAGACAGAGAGACAGAAACACAGAGATACAGAGAGACAGAGACACAGCGAGACAGCGAGACAGAGAGACACAGCGAGACAGAGACACAGAGACACAGAGAGACAGAGACACAGAGACACAGAGACACAAAGACAGAGAGACAGAGACACAGAGAGACAGAAACACAGAGACAGAGAGACAGATACAGAGACACAGAGAGACAGAGACACATAGAGACAGATACACAGAGACAGAGACACAGAGAGACAGAGAGACAGAGAGACAGAAACACAGAGAGACAGAGACACAGAGAGACAGAGACACATAGAGACAGATACACAGAGACACAGAGAAACAGAGAGACAGAGACACAGAGAGACAGAGACACAGCACCACGTGGGATGCAGTGCCGGATCCAGCTCAGTGCGGGGCCTGGAGCACGTGTTGTTGTAGTTGTTGTGAAGGGGCCCTAAATACAAAAACACATCAATATTAAACACACACATGTTAAGCTTGCACAGTAAAGTGATTGTATTTTTTCAAGTGCTACACGGCCAGATAATGCGACAAATCACTAACCTTAAACGCCCGGTCGTTCGTAAAAGTCGAAGGCGGTATAGTACTATAGTCATAGAGCAAGTGCAGAATCACTAAACCGGAATTGATAGCTCGAAAGCGTGTATTGCGGGGCCCGTAGCTACATATGTAGTAGCTGTAGTAGCTACTACTACATATGTAGTAGTAGCTACTACAGCTACTACAACTACATATGTAGTAGCTACTACATATGTAGTAGTAGCTACTACAGCTACTACAACTACATATGTAGTAGCTACTACATATGTAGTTGTAGCTACTACAGCTACTACAACTACATATGTAGTAGCTACTACAGCTACTACAACTACATATGTAGTAGCTACTACATGTGTAGTTGTAGCTACTACAGCTACTACAACTACATATGTAGTAGCTACTACATATGTAGTAGTAGCTACTACAGCTACTACAACTACATATGTAGTAGCTACTACATATGTAGTAGTAGCTACTACAGCTACTACAACTACATATGTAGTAGCTACTACATGTGTAGTTGTAGCTACTACAGCTACTACAACTACATATGTAGTAGCTACTACATATGTAGTAGTAGCTACTACAGCTACTACAACTACATATGTAGTAGCTACTACATGTAGTAGTAGCTACTACAGCTACTACAACTACATATGTAGCTACTTGTGCTACATATGTAGTTGTAGTAGCTACTACAACTACATATGTAGCTACTTGTGCTACTACGATAATCCGTCACTGCGTGAGATGTTCATTTTGCAATGAACCAAAACATCTCGAAAAGTTCATCCCAGGTGTTAATTTCCCTCTCGCCTTATGATGAAAAATAAAAACGATTGACACGACTTTGCCTCTTTGTATCTACACTGTGCCTATCCTTGTTATATAAACACACACATATATTTATTCACGATATCTCGGTTACATTTTTCATTAAATAAACAAAAAAACGCGTGGTCAACATTTTGTTTTTCGTAGGAACCGAGGCACAGTGCCCACTGTGGCCTGTTGGATAACACGACCCTGGTGAGTGGGTGAGTGGGTGGGTGGGTGAGTGGGTGAGTGGGTGGGTGGGTGAGTGGGTGGGTGGGCGGGTGGATGGGTGAGTGGGTGGGTGAGTGGGTGGGTGAGTGGGTGGGCGGGTAGATTGAGTGAGTGGGTGGGTGAGTGGGTGGGCGGGTGGATGGGTGAGTGGGTGGGCGGGTGGATGGGTGAGTGGGTGGGCGGGTGGATGGGTGAGTGGGTGGGCGGGTGGATGGGTGAGTGGATGGGCGAGTGGGTGGGCGAGTGGGTGGGCGGGTGGGTGAGTGGGTGGGTGAGTGGGTGGGCGGGTGGATGGGTGAGTGGGTGGGCGGATGAGTGGGTGAGCGGGTGAATGAGTGGATAAATGAGTGGCTGGGTGAGTAGGGGGCTGGGTGAGTGGGTGAATGAGTGGGTGGCTGGGTGAGCAGGTGTCTGGGTGAGTGGGTGAATGAATGGGTGGATGGGTGGATGAGCGAGTGGGTGAATGAGCGAGTGGCTGGGTGAGTGGGTGGCTGGGTGAGCAGGTGGCTGGGTGAGTGGGTGAATGAGTGGGTGTGAATGAGCGAGTGAGTGGGTGAATGAGCGAGTGAATGGCTGGGTGAGTGGGGGGCCGGGTGAGCAGGTAGCTGGGTGAGTGGGTGAATGAATGGGTGGGTGGATGAGTGAGTGGGTGAGTGAGTGAGTGGCTGGGTGAGTGAGTGGGTGAATGATTGAGTGGCTGGGTGAGTGAGTGGGTGAATGAGTGAGTGGTTGAATGAGTGAGTAGGTGGCTGGGTGAGTGGGTAGGTGAATGAGTGAATGAGTGGGTGGTTGGGTGAGTGGGTGAATGAATGAGTGGGTGAATGAATGAGTGGGTGATTGAGTAGGTACCCGCGTGGGTGCGTGGGTAAATGAGTGGATGAACGAGTGAGCAGGTGGCTGGGTGAGTGGGTGAATGAGTGGATGAATGAGTGGGAGAACGAGTGGGTGATTGAGTGGGTGGATGAATGAATGAGTGGATGAATGAGTGAACGAGTGGGTGAATGAGTGAGTGGGTGGCTGGGCGAGTGAGTAGGCTCGAGGCACAATGCCTACTGCGGCCTATTGGATAACGTCGCTGCTCTCAGTGACTCCCTGCTGCAGGAGGCAGGCTCTTCATCCAGCAGTGGATCGACCATGGCCGATGCCAAACCGATGATTGTGTGTGGTGTCCGCGAGCCGGTGGTGACATGGTCTCTCAGGAGGGGTCACCATGCTCTCTCGCCGCCGAACAAACACCACCAGCCCCCTTCTCTCCCTGCCTGTGTGCGCGCGTTAGAGAAGTTTGGTAGGAGGGTGGCTAGGAGGATAACTACCTCGCCTGGTCTACAGGAGGTCGTGGGTTCAATCGCAACCCTGACGACTGCTGTATATTTAGAGTTTGCGTGTCTCTCTCTCTCCCCGTGGTGAGACGTTAACTACCTCGCCTGGTCTACAGGAGGTCGTGGGTTTAATCGCAACCCTGACGCCTGCTGTATATTTAGAGTTTGCGTGTCTCTCTCTCCCCGTGGTGAGACGTTAACTACCTCGCCTGGTCTACAGGAGGTCCTGGGTTCAATCCCACTAAGTGGCAGTGACGTCACCACGGCGCTTGTGCCAGGCTAGGTGCACGTTAAGTCCACGTGCAGCGTCGAACGCTCGCTGGCACGAGGTCACGCGACATACCCCGGTGCCATGGGTGGACCGATTGCGATGACTGGCAAAGACAAAGATGCCCCGTCTAGCGTGCACAAACTGTTGGGGCAAGTGCTGTTTGCGTGCACCTATGAAGGCCGGCAGAGTAAGTGTAGCGGTGTTACGGGAGGAAAGCGGATGGTTACACAGGAGTGTCCACATCCACAAACGGTTACCACCCTGGGGGGCTGTGGGGGGATGCTGTGATCCCACACAGCCCCGCCCCTCGGTGGCAAGTTGGTATAAAAGGCGGAGAGAGCCAGAGAGCTCGAGGCAGACGTTGGGAACGGGTCAAGATGAAGAGCCAGTGAAGATCGAAGGCCAGCCAACTCGTGCCCGGAACTCATCTGGTCGCTGTCCTTCTGAGGGCCGGCTTCGTGTGGCTGGTGGTCGGGATCTGTGCCTAGCCAGGGCCAGATCAGGTGGTCTCCTTGAGGACGAGTGTGAGAATACGTGGGAGCGAGCCTGGGATTACTGACCCTTAGAGAGCGGGTGATGGGGGCGCTGCTACCTCTTCTGTTATGCGCTGTACCTACGTCAGTCAATACACGTGTGTTGCCTCAAGCTCGGCCGTCCCTGTCGTCACTACATAAAAACATTTGATGTTTCGCACTCTTACGAGTCCAGTTCATCACGAACGCGCAGCACACGAGGGGGTGGGTGGCCAGCACCACGCCCGGCCGCCTTTGTCTCCCCACACACACAAGCACGCGCGCGAGAGTGAGTCGGACAGGTGCAGGAGGAATTTAATAATTTTAATGGCCGACGACGGAATGTCAATGACAGCAACTACTGACGGCTGCCGTGCTTTGTAACGAACCGGGTGAGAACCGAGATTCACCAAATCTTACAAGCGGTGAGTGGGGGGGGGGGGGCCTTGTGGCGAGGGAGCTTCTCACAGAGACACGTGGGCGCCGCGGGTAGCGAGATGTTAACTACCTCGCCTGGTACGCAGGAGGTCGTGGTGTTTGATCCCGACCCTGACGCCTGCTGCTGTATATTCGGAGTTTGCGTCTCTCTCCCCGATGTCGCGTGGATTTTTCTCGGGTTCCTCCGGTTTTTCCCCTCCACAATTTCGAACCGACGTCACCGTGCTCAAGCGCATTTGGCTGCTACTATGAATGTCCACGTGACGATGACGCCATCAACCACTCTGTCGACGCGATCATTTGCGGTGGCCAAGTCCCGCTTGTGAAAGAGCCACACAGCTCGGTGGGGACCTCGTCTGGTTAAGCGACAACCTCTCCCCTCCTCTCTCGCACCCAACCGCCACCACCGCCACCACGACCACCACAACATCCAACGGCTCCTTCCGCGCCCTCTCACCGCTTCCCTGCTAAAATCACAAAGGGTGGGCGGGGTGGGGGGGGGCAGGGAGGGGGGGGCAGGGTGGGGTGGGGGGCAGGGTGGGGGGTGGGGGGGGGCAGGGTGGGGGGTGCCACCGTTTGAAACCGCGCAACTCGATCGTCCACAGCAACCGCTTTGTCCACATCCGAGCCAGCAGTTGCGCAACGGAGGGTTGGGTGGGGCACGGAGGGTTGGGTGGGGCACGTGACGGGGCCGCCTACGCCTCGCGCAGCTCCACCACCCCTCCCCCCGCCCGCCTCTCAATCGGCATTGCGACGGCCGCGAGTTTGGCGAACGCGGCGATGAGCCACCGCACATCGGCGAGCGGACCGACGCTTCAACGCTCCGCTCTCGTCCCTGCCGTGTTTGCGACCGGGTTGCGGCAACCGGTTGCGGGGGGCACGGTTTGCGCAAAAAAACGGATTCAGCGGTCGAACGCGAACCTCGAGGTCGTGCGACCGATCGCCGCTGATGAGCGCTCACCACCACCACCGCCACCACCGCCGCCACCGCCGCCACCGCCGCCACCGCCGCCACCGCCGCCACCGCCGCCACCGCCGCCACCGCCGCCACGCGCACGGCAGCGACGGCTCACCCCTCCCTCTCCCCCACCCAGTCCCACGCACATGCTCGTTATAAAATAGTGATTTTTTTTAAAACGGCAACAAGATTCTTCTTCACCACGTCAATTTAACTTCATTATTATTATCGTTCACCGCAAGTTAAAACAACCTGCGGCCTGACGTGACTAGCGGCTTCAAGTTTGGGCGGCGCTCGTCCGCCGACGACGACGAAAATCGACAACAAAAAAAGAGGAAAAGAAACCCCCCAGCGCGAAGGGGTTCTCGTGTGTGTGGAGCGCTGACGCACGAGCGGCGAGCAAACGAGCCGACGACGACGACGCTCGCGACCGTCGACACCGCCACCTCCTCCTCATCTCCCCCCCCCTAGCGCGACAGCCTGACGCGGGCCGCGCGGGGAGAGGGGATTGGGCGCCCCCCCCTCCTCAATTCTTCCCCTTCGCTTTCCCCCGGGTACCACGGCCCCGACCCCTCTTGGGGGTCAGCGCCCTCTTGGGTGCCGCTGCCGCCGCCGGCTGCTGCCCACCCTCCCCCTCCCCCGCCACCACGGTGGGGGGCGCCGCGTCCCCCGCGGGGGGCTCTGCCGTGTCCCCCGTGCTGCCCCCCGCGCCCACCTGACCCTCCGTGGACGCGTCCGGCGCGTCGACGGAGACCGGGACAACGACGGCGTCGCCTTCGCTGCCCACCTCCATCGCCTCCTCCCCACCCTCACGACCCTCCCCACCCTCACGACCCTCCCCACCCTCACGACCCTCCCCACCCTCACGACCCTCCCCACCCTCCCCACCCTCCCCACCCTCACGACCCTCCCCACCTTTGCCACCCTCACCACTCTTACGACTCTCCCCACCCTCACCACCCTCCCCACTCTCCCCACCATTGCCACCCTCACGACCCTCACCACCCTCACCCTGCGATGCGCCCACTGCCCCCTCTGCTGGCTCAGCCTCTGCTACTGCTACGCCGTCCGCATCTCCCTCCCCTGCTTCCTCCTCCCCCGTGCCTCCCTCCACTCCCTCTTTCCCCTCCGCTCCTCCCTCCGCCGCTCCCCCCTCAGCTTCGCCACTCTTGGCAGCAGCGGCAGCGGCGGCGGTGACGGCGGTGGCCGCCTTCCGCTCGCTCTCCTTCTTGGCGTTCTCCACCATCTTCTTCTCGTGCTCCTTGAACTCCACCGAGAAGGGGTCCTCACCCTGCCAACACCACAACCGTCAAAGACGCGCGGCGGCGAGATGTTAACTCCCTCGCCTTGTACGCAGGAGGTCGTGGCTTCGACCCCGACCCTGACGCCTGCTGCTGCTGTATATTTGGAGTTTGAGTGTCTCTCTCTCTCTGTACCCGCGGTCGCGTCGATTTCTCTCCGGGTCCTCCGGTTGTTAGTTTTTTCCCCTCCACATTCAGAATCAGCGTCACGCGTTTAGAGGATTTGGCTGCTGCTATAAATTTCCACGCGACGATTACGATTCGTGGCCAAGGCCGCTTCTGAACAAAGAGCTACGTAGCTCAGTGGGTCTTACCTGGTAAGATAAAAATAGTTTCATGATTGAACAAACCCCACGCCCCCCCCCCAACGCCAAAACAGAATGTTGGGCCAAGTGCTGTTAGCGAGCAGCAGCTGCGAAGGCCGGCACGGCGCGCGGTCGGGGTGGGGCAGAGGTCGCAACCGGGTACCCGATACCCGGCTGGGTACGGGTAGCCGTTTGCGACCCTGGTGCAGCCAGGTACGGGTACGGGTAGGCCGTGAGTCACTGGTGAGTAACGATTTGTCACTCATTTCGGATAGGGTACGGGTAGGGTACGGGTAGGGAACGGGAACCCGTACTCGGCTGGGTATGGGTGCGGGTACCCATTTGCTACCCTGGTGCGGCCGGGTACGGGTAAGGAATCAAAACCCGTTTGCGACCTCTGGGGTGGGTGGCCAGCACCACGACCGCCTTTCTCTCCCCCAGTGACGATGTTCGCCAGACACCGCGCCGGGTGCTCATTTGAGGCCAATTCGACCTACGAGGAGGGGCGGCCTAGAACCGCTTCAGACAATCGTCACCGGAGCGTCGGTGTCGGCCGTCAGCGGGAATCCAACTCGGGTGGCCGGGTCCGAAGCGCGGCACAGCGTCGTCCGCTACGCCGCTCCCGAGAGAGAGGCACCCGGGTCGGGAATCGAACCCAGGCCACTCGGGAAGACGACCCACAGTGGGTAACGTTTGCTCCGTCACTTGCCTTCTTAAATTTCTCAAACATCTCCTCCACGTCCGGCTGGTTGAGGATGCTCCTGGCTATGTGGAGGATCTCCGACTTCTTTTCAAACATGTACTTCTGCAGGAGCACACACACACACAGGGACCACCCGCCTCCAGTTAGCGCGGTTGGCTCCGTACGGTGCGAAACAAAGTTCAATATACATACACACTGAGCATAGACTCAACACTGAGCATAGACTCAACACTGAGCATAGACTCAACACTGAGCATAGACTCAACACTGAGAATAGACTCAACACTGCCCAGACTCAACACTGAGCATAGACTCAACACTGAGCATAGACTCAACACAGCCCAGACTCAACACTGCCCATAGACTCAACACTGAGCATAGACTCAACACAGCCCAGACTCAACACTGCCCAGACTCAACACTGAGCATAGACTCAACACTGAGCATAGACTCAACACTGCCCAGACTCAACACTGCCCATAGACTCAACACTGAGCATAGACTCAACACTGCCCATAGACTCAACACAGCCCATAGACTCAACACTACCCATAGACTCAACACTACCCATAGACTCAACACTACCCATAGACTCAACACTACCCATAGACTCAACACTGAGCATAGACTCAACACTGCCCATAGACTCAACACTGCCCATAGACTCAACACTACCCATAGACTCAACACTACCCATAGACTCAACACTGAGCATAGACTCAACACTACCCATAGACTCAACACTACCCATAGACTCAACACTGCCCATAGACTCAACACTGACCATAGACTCAACACTGAGCATAGACTCAACACTGACCATAGACTCAACACTGAGCATAGACTCAACACTGCCCATAGACTCAACACTACCCATAGACTCAACACTGCCCATAGACTCAACACTGAGCATAGACTCAACACTGCCCATAGACTCAACACTACCCATAGACTCAACACTGCCCATAGACTCAACACTGCCCATAGACTCAACACTACCCATAGACTCAACACTACCCATAGACTCAACACTGCCCATAGACTCAACACTGCCCATAGACTCAACACTGCCCATAGACTCAACACTGAGCATAGACTCAACACTGCCCATAGACTCAACACAGCCCATAGACTCAACACTGCCCATAGACTCAACACTGAGCATAGACTCAACACTGCCCATAGACTCAACACTGCCCATAGACTCAACACAGCCCATAGACTCAACACTACCCATAGACTCAACACTACCCATAGACTCAACACTGAGCATAGACTCAACACTACCCATAGACCGCAACCGAGACCAATAACCAACACGTACAAACAGCCACGTTTGTTCTAACAGGCCACGCAGTGGCGAGGAGCCGGTGCTACCGACAATTGCCCGAGCTCTGCGGTCCTCAATGTATGAAGGCGTTACGGCCAATTAACGAGTGGGAAGAAACCGGAGCGCCCGGAGTAAACCCACGCGTGCGTGCGAGGGGAGAAACACTCGATCCCGAACAGACGGGACAGGTGGAGTCCAGTGTGCCCACCTCCTCATGGCAGAGTCAGGGTGTGGTGGCTCACGGGAAAACGATAAACAAAATTAATCTCTACCAGCTAAGGGCCGGTGAGCTATGTAGCTCTTTTTCAGAAGTGACCTGGCCACAAATGATATCTCAACGAATCGGCTTATCATCATCGTATGGAAATGTATAGCAGCAGCCAAATACTGCAAGCCGCGTGACGTTGATCTTAAAAGTGGAGGGGGGAAAAAACCGGAGGACCCGGAGAAAAATCCATGCGACTTCTGGGAGAGAGAGACGCAAATTCCAAATATACAGCAGGTGTCGGGATCGAGAGCGAACCCACGATGACCTCCTGCATACCAGGCGAGGTAGTTAACATCCCTTCACTGTGGCGGATGCTGGTCACACAGTGGGGGGAGGCGAAATGCCGGAGAGAGAGATGGAGAAATGGAGAGAGATGGTGAGAGATGGAGAGAGATGGAGAGAGAGGGGGAGAGAGAGATGGTGAGAGCGAGAGAGACCGCGACAGGCACGTGCAAGCGACTCGCCTCCCTCTTGTTGACGTGCGACGTCGCCGCCATGTGGCCCTCCACCTCGTGTGCCGACAGGGGGATGTAGACGTTGCAGATGTAGCAGGCCACCACCTCCTCGCGCTGCATCAGATCCTCCAGCTCGAGGCCTGCAGCAGCAGCAGAGAGACGGTGGGAGAGTGGGGGGCGCACAGACGGAGAGAGGGAGAGCGCGGAGGGGCGGCGGTCGGCTGGTGACGGGGACCGGGGGGGCGGCTGCGACGCCAGGCGGGGGAGGCTCTCTCGCTCTCTCAATTCTTCTCTAACCTCTCGGACGCGACTCCGCGGCCCGCCCGTCTGGAACGCTCTTCCCCGTCCGATATTAGGAAGCCGCCGGGAGCTGTGATGAACTTTTAAATCGTCGTCTAAGACGGACAAGCTCACTTGTTTAGAACTGGCCTTTTGTGTTTAGTTTGTTGTCCTTCCCCCGCACCTCCGATTAGCGCGGTTGGCTACATACGGTGGTGCGAAAGAAGTTCAACGTAAACAATGACCATAGACTCAACACTACCCATAGACTCAACACTGCACATAGACTCCACACTGCCCATAGACTCAACACTACCCATAGACTCCACACTGCCCATAGACTCAACACTACCCATAGACTCACACTGCACAGACTCAACACTACCCATAGACTCAACACTACCCAAAGACTGACACTGCACATAGACTCAACAATACCCATGGGCTCAACACTGCCCATAGACTAAACACTGCCCATAGACTCAACACTTCCTATAGACTAAACACTACCCATAGACTAACACTGCCCATAGACTCCACACTGCCCATAGACTCAACACTGCGCATAGACTCAACACTGCCCATAGACTAACACTGCCCATAGACTCAACACTGCACCTCCGACGAGCATGGTTGGCTACGTAGGGTGCGAAAGAAGTTCGTACCGTTCCCAGCAATTGCTGTTAGTGAAGAAGTGAAATGTTACATCAGCCCCTTCATGTCGCATCCTCCACTACACACGATTCCCCGCACACACACACACGCACACACGTACGCACGCCACTAGTTCGGCACATGTCGCATACGTACACACACACACGCAGATACACGACGTCGCACGCGCGCATACGTACACACGCACGCACGCACCCCCACGCACAACGCAACTGGCTGGCCAAGCGAGCGTGGTGGCGCTCATCGACTTTGGGTCTGGCGGCGTGTCACTGCTTTCGCTTTGCTTGTTTTGACTTTTTATTTCGTTTCGGTTTAGAAAAATGCACGAGGGCCCCAAACGGAATTTCCACTCCTCCTCGTTTTTAAACCGCAGAGGGTTTACCGAGGCGCGCGCGCGGGCGGCACCGGAGGGGAGGAGGAGGAGGGGGTGTGGGTGGGTGGCGGGGGGGGGTGGGGGTGAGGACGCGGAGCTGCTCGGCGCTAGTCAGCACTCCCTGCGACAGCCCTCTCCGGTTTACCTGCCAACGGGTCAAAGCTCTGCTCGGCCGGATCAACCGCGGCCTCTCCCGCCTCATTCGTGGCTTCTGCCGGCGCCTTCTCGGCGTCTTGCTGCGCTTCGGCCGACGCCTCTGGCCGCTTCTCCGCCGCTTCCTCGACAGAAGACGACGAGGCTGGCGCTTCCGCACCCTGCGTGGGCGCGGACCCCTCCTCCTCTTTGCGTTCGGCGGCGTCGGTGACGGCGGCGGGTTCGGCGGAGGTGGAATCATCGGCGGTGGTGGCGGCGGCCTCCTCCGCGGGAAGAACAGCAGTGCTCTCAGAGTCTGCCACGTCGCAGGCTTTACCGCCCGTTGTTGTTGTTGTCGTCGTTTCCCCCATTGTTGTTGTTTTCCCCCCCGTTGTTGTTGTTGTTGTTTCGCCGGGCACCTCGGCCGCGACTTCTTCGGTTCCCAAGACCTCGGCCGTCACGGCGGCTGCGACAACGGCGGAGGCCTCTACCACTGTCCCAGTCGTGTCCATCGATTCGTCGTCTTCCCGTTGCGGTTTAGCGTCGGCGGGGAGACCGGCGGCGGTTTGGTCGGCCGCGAGTGCCGGGTCGGCACCGGCCACCTCGACGGCGGCTGTCTCTTCGTCCTCGGCGCCGACATCGCTCAAAGTCTTCTCCTCCTCCTCCTTCGACTTGGAGCTCTGTGGCTTCTCGTGTCGGTTCACTTTGCCATACTCCTTCTTGCGAGTTGCCAATTTCTTGTTTTTCAACGTTATGTATTGCTACAAGACAAGAAGGGAAAATGTAAAAGTAGATCTGCAAAAGATCGCTCTTTCTCGAGTTGTGACTTCGTTGCGCAGTGCCGTTAGGGTTACACGCACGCAGACGCGCACGCGCACACGCTGACGGACCACCCCACAAACCCCTCCCCTCCCCGCCCAGCAACAGCACAAACACGACAACACGGCCCTGGCTTGCTGTGTGCGGGCTGTCTCGCACCCACCCCAGCCCCGGCTCTCCAGAACAACATGCGGCGTGCATCTCAAGCCTACTCCACGCAGACTGCCCCCCACCCCCCACCCCCCACACACACACTCCACCCCCCACACACACATGCCACCCACTCGCCCCCTACTGTGAAAACGTGTGAGCAAACTATAAGCCTAATAAAAACATTGATTTGACCAGGTAAGGCCCACTGAGCTACGATGTGGCTCTTATTCAGAAGCGACCTGGCTATCACGAACCACAGCTCAATCAAGTGGCTCATCATCATCGTCGTCGCGTGGAAACTTCTAGCGGCAGCCACTTACTCTCAACACGTCACGTTCATCCTAAATGCGGCGGGGAAAAACCCGGAGGGGACCCCGAGAAAAATCCACGACACCACGGGGAGACGGACAGACGTGCAAACTCCAAATATAAAACGGCAGGCATAGTCAGGGTCGGGATCGAAAATCTGAGCCTGGGTCGTCGTGCTCAGCACTGACGCTCATCTAAGAGCACACTCGCACGCATGCACACACACGCACGCTCGCACGCACAGAGCTTAGGGGTTATACACGCACATTTGCGAAGGTTCTCTGCAATGTAATTAAGGACAAGCGCTTCACAGAAACAACAAGAGCCCTGCCAGGAAAAAGCCCAAGCCTGGATTAAACACATCCATGGAACATCCTAGACGCGGTCCCTACGATAGAAGATTAACGCTGCTGCTCTTAAGACGAGAGACCTCACGGCGAAACACTCCGCTGCTCCCGACGCGGGCATCTGGCTTGACCCCCTGAATGTGACATTGTAGTTGCTCTGCGTCTTCACCAGAGATCTCTTAGAGCCGACATGCGATATTCACCAACGTCTACACCGAGCTTACCTCTCATCGACTCGCGTTGAGGACGCGCGGTCTAACTGGACCGACCGTTTCATTTCGGCCACAACGGTGTTCAACCCACCATCACCACACCGCAGGTCACAACAACTCACTCGCTCACCCGCTCACCCACTCAACCCCCTAATTCCCTCACTCACCAAACCCACCATCACCACACCGCAGGTCACAACAACTCGCTCGCTCACCCGCTCACCCACTCACCCCCTAATTCACTCACTCACCAAACCCACCATCACCACACCGCAGGTCACAACAACTCGCTCGCTCACCCGCTCACCCACTCACCCACTCACCAAACTCACCATCACCACACCACAGGTCACCTCACTTCTCTTCCCCATCATCTCTTTTCCCCAGCTCTCATGATCTCCTGCCCACTAAACCCTAAACTATTTTTTGTTATTTTACCAGGCAAGGCCCACTAAGCTATACATCTCTTTTTCAGAAGTGACCTCGCACACAACTGACAACTCAACGAAGCGGCTTAACGTCACGTGTTCATTTATAGCAGCGGGCAAATACTCTCAACGCGCGATTCTAAATGTGGATGGGAAAACTGGAGGACCCGGAGAAAAATCAACACGACCATGGAGAGAACATGCCAACTCCAAAGATAAAGCATGCGTCGGGGTTGGGATCAAACCCGCGACCTTCTGTATACCAAGCAAGGTAGTGAGCATCTCCTCGTTGCCGTGGCGCTTTCGGGGATGCGGCTCTCAACGAGGCTGCCAACTTTGAGAGTCCGAGATTCAAGCTCGGCTGGGGTTTCTCATCTAAAAAAGCGAGTAAATGTAGATTTGGCTTCGCAAATGAAGCCACGCTACTTAACCTGGCCGCCTTAAGTATGGCTCTGTACGGCTCGGAGATTCAGCCCAAACCACCGACGATCCGGAGGGTGCCCCTGGGGATCCCCAATTAAGGACGAACGCTTTACTCACGCGGCGCAACCGTCAGACAAATAAAAAGAAAGGAGTCTCCGCATCTCATTCGGAAGGCACACGGCCAAAACCCTACCCACGCATTTCCAACATATGCGATGTAGAAACCTCCGTACCATCGATTAGAAATCTCCAATTAGAAACCTCCCATTAGAACAGTTGGCTTACGTACGGTGCAAAAGAAGCTCAACATACATAGAGAACAACGGGCATCTGCACACGCACATTTACACACGCGCACTCACACACACAAACAGGAAAACACAAACGCACACCCGCGCGCGCACACGCACGCGCACGCACACACGCGCACGCACACGCACGCACACACACACAAACAGGAAAACGCACACAGCCGGGAGAAAATATGGGAGACCCCCTTTGCCCAACAAGTAGGAAGTTGGCTGACGGAGACAACTGTGGGCTGACTACAGTGTTCACTACCAACGGTTATCAGAAGCAATCAACGACATTTCGGTGACCCAGGTCGTGGGTCACTCTTGCGTGCAGGGGACTCGTCGCCGTTTCCGCTCACGCTCGCTCTGCCCTGCTTAGACAAGGTCAACTTGAACTGGACAACGGCAGCAACTGATAAAGTGACGGGGTGGGGTGGTTGGGGGGGCGGGAGCAGAGGGAGGGATGGAGCGGAGGGAGTGGAGGGAGGGAGGGAGGGAGCGGAGTGAGCAGAGGGAGGCGTTGGGGTGCAGGCGATGCAGCCTTACGTGCAGGAAGTCGGACATGCCCTTCTCATCGGGGAAGGCCTCCTTGATGAGGCGCAGGATGAACTGGTGGAAGGGGCTGCCCAGGTGGTATTCGATGTCAGCCTCCTCAGCCGTGCTGTACTTGCACACGGCGCAGTAGTACTGCTGCCTGCAGACATTCATCATTTCGATAGCAAAAAACGTCCCATAGATATCAACTACCGCCCTGCAACGTGTGTTGGTCACCATGGCCACCACGCGCGCTCACGTCAGCTGCGTGGCAGTTCCACCCATCTTGACACAGCCACTCATCCCAACCGGCCCTGCCACTCCGTGGCGCTGACGTCACCGCCCCAGGCGAGAGAGGCTCGTGCCAGGCTAGGTGGCACTTTTGAGGACGTCACGCGTGAAGTTTGCACGGCTTCTCGCTGCTGGCTGGAGGGAGGTCACGGGACCCCAAGCGGATGACCGACTGGGGCATGTGCATGGGGTGCCGGCAGTGGCTAGGAGATGTTAACTCTCTCGCCTGGTATGCAGGAGGTCGTGGGTTTGATCCCGACCCTGACGCCTGCTGTATCTGTGGAGTTTGCGTCTCTCTCCTCTCTCTCCCAATGGTCGAGTAGATTTTTCTCAGGCCGCTCCGGTTTTTCCCTCCCCATGTAGAATCGACGTCGCGCGTGTAACGAGTATTTGGCTGCTGCTATAAATTTCCACGCATGATAAGCCACTTCGTTGAGCTACCATTACGCGAGGCCAGATCGCTTCTGAAAGAGAGCCACAAAGCTCGGTGGGCCTTAGCTGTAGTCCAAACAAACATACGCAAAATATACACTCGCATCCACGTGTCATTATACAATAGGACACGGGGGAAATAGTAATTGATGACATCTGGTTTTACTCTGAATGTGAACCTTACTTGAAGGACTCCCGTCTGTTCTTCATCCGGCCTGTGGAGAGACGTGAAACACAGCGGGGATGATGGTGATTAGAATGCGCGCGCGTAAACATCGTCACTTGCTAGATCACGGTCACAACAACAGTAACAAGAGTGATTTCCTGTCCTCCTGTTTACAGCGCCTGCACAGAGCCAGTGCTGGAAATTCCACATTACTATGGCGGGGGACAAGTCTCTCCACAGGACAACCACACCGTTGAACTTCCTCACTCAAAGTGGTACTCGTTTTAAACATCCCGGAGGGATGATGAGACAAATACACCACTTCATTACGGATCGGTTATCAGTATTTGTTCATGCATTTAACAGGGGCGTAATGTTCAGCGCATGAATAAAGCAGCCCCCGTGTAGGTTACAGACCTAACGACGTTGTGTAGGCGCGTCATCACGCGCTTGCTGCGTGCGTGTGCGCCGCGCACTAATCCAGCGACATCCTTGGGCCACGGGGAACTTCCAAGTTCGACATGCGGACGGCCTGACAAGCCAGCCGGTCTCTCTCTCTCTCTCCACCAAAAACAAAGATTCCCCGTGTAGCCTTAAAAGACCCGAGTTCGATTCCCGCTCACGGCCAACACCAGTGTCGATTATCTGAACCGGTCCTGGGCCTCCTCCCCAAATGAGTACCTGCTGCGGTGTGTGAACATCGCCACTGGCAGATGAAGGTGGCCGTTCCGGCCTTCATAGCCGCTGGCTGCTACTCGCGATCAGCACTTGCCCCTGACGGTCTGCTAAAGGCTACACGGGGGGAGGGGGGGGGTGGGGATCTTTGTGTTGTTGTGGTTGTGAGTGAGCGAGAAACTCACGGCCAGAATCATCGTAGTCCAGCTTCTCAGAGCGCTGCCTCTGTGAACAGACACAGCACAACGATGAGCAGATGCCAACCCCCCACCCTGCACAACCTACAACTGGGTACATTTGTTGTTACATTAACCACGTGACAAGATGAACTCATTGCACACTCACCCCGTGCTTGTCATCTCGGTCGAAACCTGGGCACAGCGACAGGGCAAACAAGGCAAACGTTATTCACACGGACAGGGGACGCCCCCCCCCCACCCAGAGAGCCGCAGGGGAGCGTGAAGCGCCCTGGCGATGCCCACTCACAACTGGGGCGCCACGCAGAGGTCGCAACCGGGTACCCGATACCCGTACCCTACCCGATACTCGGCTACCCGGCCGGGTACAGGTACCCATTTGCGACCCTGGTGCGGCCGGGTACGGGTACGGGTAAAGAATCAAAACCCGTTTGCGACCTCTGGCGCCACGGTGGCAAGATGCCAGCTCCCTCGCCCGGCACGCAGCAGGTCGTGGGTGCGATCACGAACCTCACGACGCCTGCTGCTGCTGTGTGTTTGGAGTTTGCGTGTCTCCCTCTCCCCGTGTACACTGTGTGTGTGCCGGTTGTGTTGTGTGTGTTATCTGTCGTAGTGTGCGATGTTAATGGAGAGTGGGTGCGTGTGATTTGTTGTGTGATGGTTGTGGGGAGAGGCAGTGTTTTGGTTGGCGCCCTGCGCTACCAACCAGGCGACCCGAATTCGATTGCCACTCATGACAGATAAGAGTGGCGAATCTCTGACAGGTATTCGATCTTCCCCTAGGTCGACTCAGGCTTAAATAATGAGCTGGTGCGGTGTGTGCGAACATCAGATATGGGGGAAACAAAGACAGCCGGGCGCGGTACTGGCCACCCACCCCCTCGTGTTGCGTGCCGTGACGACCTTTGTAGGTGCTGCTCGCTAACAGCACTTGCCCCAACAGTCTGTGAAAGGCTACACGGGGATCTTTGTCTCTTCTTGTTGTGACGGTGAAGAGGTGCGATCTGTAGGCAGGTGTGCACTGTACTTACTGCGCCCATCGGTGTCGCGGTCGCTCCTGCTGTGTCTCTGCAAACAAAAAACACGATGAGCGGGTGTTGGAAATTCTACATTCCCTACGGCGAGAGCGAGTCTACCCGTAGCGCACAACCGCCGTTGACCCTTCCCCACACAAAGTGGTGCTCAATGTATTGACCTGGAAAGAGGGATGACAATGATGACAACGATGACAATGAGGACGACGATAATGATGACAACAATTATATTGTTGATGGCAATGCGGTGAGATATAAAGTGATGAGAGAAAGTGATGTGTTATTCTGATACTTTTCACGTATTTATGGGTTCATTTAAGGCAATGCAAAATGAAGGACTCCCGTAAAAGGGCACTTGATGAGGTCGCGACGAGGAGTGGAGTGATGACGCTGAGAAAGCCAGCAAACACCAAACTTGCTCACCTCCTCCTTGTCGTAGCGTTCGTGCTCTGCAGGAGAGAACGGCACAGACACGCTGGTGAGCACTTCACCTGCGGTGCGCTGCTGCTGCTGGTGGCTGAACACAGCGCGAACTGAGACAAAACCGTCAAGTTCGGTAGACCGAGTTTACTCAACGCGGGCAGAGGAAGAACCGGCGCGTGGTTGTAATAGCGAAAGAAGAGCGCCGAGGAAGCGAGTGACCGCACACACGCAGGGCGCACGCACCGTGCGTGTGGGGGCGGGGGCTACCTCTGCTGTCGTCTCGACGCGGTCTCTTGGGCTGCGACCCGCCGGACCAGGAGCGGTCGCGGCGCTGGTAGCTGCCGCCCTCGCGGCCGCCGCGGTCGTGATCCTGGTGGTGGTAGTGGTGCTCGCGCTCCCCGTAGCCGGAGCGCCTGAAGCCGGAACCGCCGCCACCGCCGTAGCCTCCGCCATAGCCGCCTCCTCCGCCATAGTCCCTGCCGTGCTGCACCGAGATGTTCACAAGGAATTTCACTCTGAACACACGGACCCCTTGGCAAGACGCTGGCGCTGACGGTCGTCGCGCCAACGAGCCGCGGGTCGTACTCACGAGCACGAGTGTCAACGAGTGTCAACGAGCGTCAACGAGCCCAAACGCTCGCGCGTCGCGACGGGTCGTGGCGCACCCTCACCCCGGAGGCTGCGGCGCGGTGCGGCGGCCCCCGGTAGTCGCGCGACGAGGACCCCCCGCCGACCCCGCTGCCGCCCCCCTCGTAGTAGTCTTGGCGGCCCCCGTATCCGTACGAGGCGGGCGCCTTGGCTGGGTACGGCGCCGCGTGGTGGCGCTCGTACGCGCGGTCGTCTGAGCGCCACCCGGCGGGTCGCGCGTAGCCCGCGTGGTGAGCGCCTCCTCCTCCTCCTCCGGGGCCGTGGCGGTAGTCGTCCTCCCGGGAGTCGTACGGCTGGTAGCTGCACCGCGTTCACGCGCAGAGACAAGAAGCCCGCGGGCTGTGAACGCGGACGCAGGGCGACGGCGCGTTCGCTCGCAAAGCGGTTCGCGGTTCGGTTCCAGGGCAGGGCGCCCCGAGGTTGGCTATGTATGGTGCAAAAGAAGTTTAACATATGTACATACAGCCCATAGACTCAACACTGCCCATAGACTCAATACTGCCCATAGACTAACACTGCCCATAGCCTCAACACTGTACCTCGGATTAGCACGGCTGGCTACGTATTGTGTGAAAGAAGTTCAACATACATACAGCCCATAAACTCAACACTGCCCATTGCATCTCCGATTAGCACGGCTGGCTGGGTACACGCGTGCGCACAACACACGTCGCTAGCTCGGCAACATAAAACCAGTTTCGTGTAAGCATTAGCAAAATCCCGTGTGCGATGATGCAAAGGTGTCGCGGTCCGAATCGCGTCCCGTGCCAACAGCGCGTGGACAGCGCACCGTGGTGGGAATGGCGGCAGACGCTTGTGAACTGCCGTGAAGGGGAAGGGGAGAGCGAGAACGAGCGTGGAATTACTCACTCCTTTGGGTGACCTCCGCCGTAGCTGGTACCGGGACCTGCGCACGGCGACAGAAACACGTGGCAGAGAGAAAGTCTGAGCGTTATTTATTTTGAATGGCCAGACAGGCGAGTTGTCATTCGCAAGGGTGACCCCCCGTGGGGGGGCTCGGAAAACAACATGCAAATAGAATACAAGTACTGCTGATGCAGTAAACAGGAATCGCACCACTGCAAATCAACTAACCGAAAATACTCAACAACTATTTTAAACTGAGCTTTTTTTATTTCACCAGGCAAGGCCCTAATGAGCTACTACATAGCTCTGTTTCAGAAGTGACCTGGCCACAAATGACAGCTCAACGAAGTGGCGTATCAAGTGAAAGTTTATCGCTCTAAACGCGCGATGTTGATTCTAAATGTCGAGGGATAACCCGGAGAAAATCCACGCGACCACAGGGAGAGACACGCAAACTCCACACACAGCAGGTATCGTCAGAGTCGGGATCGAACCCATGACTTCCTGTATACCAGGCGAGGAAGTTCACATCTCGCCACCCAGCACAAAGAGCAACACGAGCGGATTTCATCGCTCCATCTCCACGGTGGACAGACCCCGGCTGCGGCTCCGAATTTTTCTCGACCGTCACCCATCATATGGACTTGTGAGCAACACAAATATAACTTCATAGCTCATCGGATTCCTCGTCCAGTCTCAATACGGCGGTGCCTCGGCTTACAATGCCATCGATTAACAATATTTAGACTCACGATCCGCCTCCCATAGGGGTCCCATTGTTTCTATTAACGGCAAATGTTCGATTAACGATCATGTTTACGAGATCACGCGGACCCGCCAATTTCGGCCAATCGGAGCAGTCTCTACACTTGCGACGCTGCAGACCTCAGCCAATCAGCGATCGCTTCAGCCATTCATCTTCTTAGCCTCAGGTAAGAATTGTTACTTCATGCACCTGTTAATGCTCTATTAATTATTGATCCGCGTTTCTATTAATATTAATGCTTTAATGTGTTCTTATAACGTTTATGTATTAAATTGCGAGTTTAAATGTCAAGCTATTTTTTTTAGGACGAAAAACATCAACTTCCTTTAGCATGTATTTCCTATGTTCGATCAACGACAATTTCAATAAACGATGGGTTTTCGTGGAACCAATTACCAATATCGTTCACCGAAGGACCGCTACATGGATTGTACCGACACCCAAATTCCGGAAGAGCTGCCCGCGTTTCGGTGGCAATCTTCCGGAATCCGTTCCACCAACAAAAATTGCCATTCCGATTCCGGAAGATCGATCCCTATCTTCACAGCGTCTTCCGGAAGAGCTGCCCGCGTTTCGGTGGACATCTTCCGGAATCCGTTCCACCAACAAAAATTGCTAATCCGATTACGGAAGATCGTTCCCTATCTTCACAGCTTCTTCCGGAAGAACTGTCCGCGTTTCGGTGGACATCTTCCGGAATCTGTTCCATCCACAAAAATTGCCATTCCGATTCCGGAAGATCGTTCCCTATCTTCACAACTTCTTCCGGAAGATTTGCCCGCGTTTCGGTGGACATCTTCCGGAAGCGGCAGACTGCCTGCGCTCACCGTTTGTTAAGAGGGGCCGCCATTTTGTCGCGGCGGCGTCCCCAAAGCGCTGCGCTCCGCTCGCAGGAACCCAAACAAACGAACTCCTTCGGCTGCCCAAGACGATCGCCAACGCGCCGCAATACACCGCTCCCCCCTCACAAAATTCGCCTAGATTCGATTCGACGGCGTGCGAAAGCGATCGCCCGTCGCACGGCTGCCCCAGGGCACGACTACAACTGGCTTCACATTCAGGCGGAACAAGACGGCAAACGCGCAACCGCGTCAGGAGTCAGCGAAGCTGCGTTACCGCCGCGATGTTTACTTTCATATTTGTCGGTGTGGGGGGGGCGAGGGTGGGCATTGCGTCGTTATACGTTGTCACGGTGTCTGGTGTGCAACGACAATGAATGCGTGAGGGGATGACACCGTGGCTCGCTCTCTGCAGCAAAACAACCAACGCCCCCCCCCCTCTCCCTCCATCCCCTCACGACAAACCCGTGGAGGAGTCGGGACCGGCACCTCACCTCGTTCAAAATACGCCATCGCTGTTGTCCCTCGTGACGGGAAGGGGGTCGCTGCTTTGGTGGGGGGGAGCGTGGTGACGTCAGCGCGCTCGCCTAGCGTGGTGACGTCAGTGCGCTCGCTAGCGTGGTGACGTCATCGCGCTCGCTATCGTGGTGACGTCAGCGCGCTCGATAGCGTGGTGACGTCAGCGCGCTCAATAGCGTGGTGACGTCCGCGCTCGCTAGCGTGGTGACGTCAGCGCACTCGCTAGCGTGGTGACGTCAGTGCGCTCGCTAGCGTGGTGACGTCAGTGCGCTCGCTATCGTGGTGACGTCAGCGCGCTGGCTAGCGTGGTGGCGTCTGCGCGCTCGCCTAGCGTGGTGACGTCAGCGCGCTCGCTAGCGTGGTGACGTCAGCGCGCTCGCCTAGCGTGGTGACGTCAGCGCGCTCGCTAGCGTGGTGACGTCAGCGCGCTCGCCTAGCGTGGTGACGTCAGCGCGCTCGCTAATGTGGTGACGTCAACCCGCTCGCTACCGTGGTGACGTCAGCGCGCTCGCTAGCGTGGTGACGTCAGCGCGTTTTATAATCGCTCAGTGGTGGGCCTTATACAACAAGTGTTATTGGTCTTGATTTGAAGCTTTCGTGACTGCAGGAATCCATACTCTTTGGTTCTTTCGGTAAAGTCACGTCGGTAGAAAAATAATAGATCACGACGTTTCGATCGCCACAGCAAGAAAAAACTGCTGAAGTAGGCGATTGGTATAGTATTATTGTTATGGATATGTTTGAAATGGATTGTGTGTTTGTTGTTGTAGCGTTCTGACCCCGTGCCCCCCGGTTTAGACGAGTCAAAAAAGAGCTTTACAGGTCATCGGATTTCTGCCGCAGGATGTTTACGTCACCACGCGAGGTGGGAGCTGACGTCACCACGCTAGCGCGCTGACGTCATCACGCGAGTGGGAGCTGACGTCACCACGCGAGGTGGGAGCGGACGTCACCACGCTAGCGCGCTGACGTCACCACGCGAGTGGGAGCTGACGTCACCACGCTAGAGGGCGCGCTGACGTCAACCACGCGAGTGGGAGCTGACGTCACCGCGCTAGTGGGCGCGCCTGACGTCACCACGCGAGGTGGAAGCTGACGTCACCGCGCTAGTGGGCGCTGACGTCACCACGCTAGAGGACGCGCTGACGTCACCACGCTCGCCAGGCTTCCCGCCCAAAAAAAATCAGCGGCGGCCGTTCACCCCCCACCGCCGTTCCCGTCACGAGGGACAAGAGCGATGGCGTATTTTGAACGAGGTGAGGCGGCGGTCCGACTCCTCCACGGGTTTGTCGTGAGGGGATGGAGGGAGAGGGGGGCGTTGGTTGTTTTGCTGCAGAGAGCGAACCCCGGTGTCATCCCCTCACGCATTCATTGTGGTTGCACACCAGACACCGTGACACCCCCCCCCCCCCACACCGATAAATACGAAATGAAACATCGCTCCGGCTCCTGACGCGGTTGCGCGTTCGCCGTCTTGTTCGGCCCGAATGTGAGGCCCGTTGTAGTCGTGTCCTGACGGCCACTGCCGGATTATCGTAGTAGCAGCACAAGTCGCTACCAATGTGGCTACGGGCCGCACAGTCGTAGCTACTACATATGTAGTAGCTACACTACTACATATGTAGTCGTGTAGCTACACTACTACATATGTAGTAGTGTAGCTACGACTACATATGTAGTAGTAGCTACACGACTACATATGTAGTACTACTACATAGCTACCACAGTAGTAGCTACGACTACATATGTAGTAGCTACTACTTATGTAGCTACTACATATGTAAGGGCCCCGCGCTAAACGCTGTCAAGATATAAATTCGGCTTCAGTGATTCTGCACTTGCTCTATTACTATAGTACTATACCGCCTTCAACTGTTTAAAACGACTGTGTTTAAGGTTATACATTTGTTGTATTATCTGGCCGTGTAGCAAATGAAAAATGCAATTACTTACAACTATGCAAGTTATACATGTTAATATTTACGTGCTTATTTTACTTGGGCCCCTTAATAACAACATGTGCTACAGGCCCCGCACTTAGCTTAATCCGGCCCTACCGAATGTAGAAAGTTCGGCGCGAGATACACGCAGAGTGACAGCGGTGGCACTGCTAAATCCGGCACTGGCGAAACGAATCGTCGAGGCGAATTTCGTGAGGGGGGCGGTGAATTGGGGCGCGTTGGCGATCGTCTTGGGCAGCCGACGGAGTTTGTTTGTTTGGGTTCCTGCGAGCGAGCGCAGCAAATGGCGGCCACTTTTAACAAACGGTCTGCCGCTTCCGGAAGATGTCCACCGAAACGCGGGCAGCTCTTCCGGAAGAAGCTGTGAAGATAGGGAACGATCTTCCGGAATTGTGATTGGCAATTATTGTTGGTGGAACGGATTCCGGAAGATTGCCACCGAAACGCGGGCAACTCTTCCGGAATTTGGGTGTCGGAACAATCAATGCAGCGGCCCCTCTGTGAACGATATTGGTAATTGGTTCCACAAAAACCCATCGTTAATTGAAATTGTCGTTGATCGAACATAGGAAATACATGCTAAAGGCTTAATTTGTTGCCAAAACGATTGGAAGTTGATGTTTTTCACCCTAACAAAAATACCTTGACATATTTAACCACGCAATTTAATACATAAACATAAGAACACATTAAAGCTTTCATATTAATAGAAACGCGGATTAATAATTAATAGAGCATAAAAAGGTGCATGAAGCAACAATTCTTACCTGAGGCTAAGAAGATGAATGGCTGAAGGGATCGCTGATTGGCTGAGGTCTGCAGAGTCACACGTAGGGACTGCTCCGATTGGCCGAAATTGGCGGGTCCACGTGATATCGTAAACATCGTTAATTGAACATTTGCCGTTAATAGAAACAATGGGACCCCTATGGGAGGTGGATCGTGAGTCTAAATATTGTTAATCGATGGCATTGTAAGCCGAGGCACCGCCGTATTTAGACTGGACGAGGAATCCGATGAGCTATGAAGTTCTCTGTTTTTGTTGCTCACAAGTCCAGATGATGGGCGATGGTTGAGAACTATAGCGGGGCTGCCCACCGTGGAGATGGAGCGATGAAATCCGCTCGTGTTGCTCTATATGCTGGGTGGCGAGATGTGAACTACCTCGCCTGGTATACAGGAGGTCATGGGTTCGATCCCGACCCTGACGATACCTGCTGTTTGTGTTGAGTTTGTGTGTTTCTCTCTCTCCCTGTGGTCGCGTGGATTTTTTTTTTTCTCCGGGTTATCCCTCGACATTTAGAATCAACATCGCGCGTTTAGAGCGATAAACTTTCACTTGATACGCCACTTCGTTGAGCTGTCATTTGTGGCCAGGTCACTTCTGAAACAGAGCTACGTAGTAGCTCATTAGGGCCTTGCCTGGTGAAATGAAAAAAAACTCAGTTTAAAATAGTTGTTGAGTATTTTCACTTATCGGTTGTTAATTGACTATTTAACAACGATTTGGTGCAATATTTTCGATGTCTCATGTTACGCGTTTTTTTTTTTTTTGCTGCAGCCGATCTCTTTGTACTGCATCGCAGTAAACAGAATGACAACTCTCCTCTCTGGTCGATGAAAATAAATAACGCTCAGACTTTCTCTCTCCCGCCGTGCGCAGGTTCCGGTACCAGCTACGGCGGAGGTCACCCAAAGGAGTGAGTAATTCCACGCTCGCTCGCTCGTTCTCGCTCTCCCCTTCACGGCAGTTCACAAGCGTCTGCCGCCATTCCCACCACAGTGCGCTGTCCACGCGCTGTTGGCATGGGACGCGATTCGAACCATGACGCCTTTGCATCATCGCACACGGGATTTTGCTAATGCTTACACGAAACTGGTTTTGTGTTGCCGAGCTAGCGACGTGTGTTGTGTTCACGTGTGTACCCAGCCAGCCGTGCTAATCGGAGATGCAATGGGCAGTGTTGAGTTTATGGGCTGTATGTATGTTGAACTTCTTTCACACAATACGTAGCCAGCCGTGCTAATCCGAGGTACAGTGTTGAGTCTATGGGCTGTATGTACATATGTTAAACTTCTTTTGCACCATACATAGCCAACCTCGGGGCGCCCTGCCCTGGAACCGAACCGCGAACCGCTTTGCGAGCGAACGCGCCGTCGCCCTGCGTCCGCGTTCACAGCCCGCGGGCTTCTTGTCTCTGCGCGTGAACGCGGTGCAGCTACCAGCCGTACGACTCCCGGGGGGACGACTACCGCCACGGCCCCGGAGGAGGAGGAGGAGGCGCTCACCACGCGGGCTACGCGCGACCCGCCGGGTGGCGCTCGGACGACCGCGCGTACGAGCGCCACCACGCGGCGCCGTACCCAGCCAAGGCGCCCGCCTCGTACGGATACGGGGGCCGCCAAGACTACTACGAGGGGGGCGGCAGCGGGGTCGGCGGGGGGTCCTCGTCGCGCGACTACCGGGGGCCGCCGCACCGCGCCGCAGCCTCCGGGGTGAGGGCACGCCGCGACTCGTCGCGACGCGCGAGCGTTTGGGCTCGTTGACACTCGTGCTCGTGAGTACGACCCGCGGCTCGTTGGGGCGACGACCGTCAGCGCCAGAGTCTTGCCGAGGGGTCCGTGTGTTCAGAGTGAAATTCCTTGTGAACATCTCGGTGCAGCACGGCAGGGACTATGGCGGAGGAGGCGGCTATGGCGGAGGCTACGGCGGTGGCGGCGGTTCCGGCTTCAGGCGCTCCGGCTACGGGGAGCGCGAGCACCACTACCACCACCAGGATCACGACCGCGGCGGCCGCGAGGGCGGCAGCTACCAGCGCCGCGACCGCTCCTGGTCCGGCGGGTCGCAGCCCAAGAGACCGCGTCGAGACGACAGCAGAGGTAGCCCCCGCCCCCACACGCACGGTGCGTGCGCCCTGCGTGTGTGCGGTCACTCGCTTCCTCGGCGCTCTTCTTTCGCTATTACAACCACGCGCCGGTTCTTCCTCTGCCCGCGTTGAGTAAACTCGGTCTACCGAACTTGACGGTTTTGTCTCATTCGCGCTGTGTTCAGCCACCAGCAGCAGCAGCGCACCGCAGGTGAAGTGCTCACCAGCGTGTCTGTGCCGTTCTCTCCTGCAGAGCACGAACGCTACGACAAGGAGGAGGTGAGCAAGTTTGGTGTTTGCTGGCTTTCTCAGCGTCATCACTCCACTCCTCGGCGCGACCTCATCAAGTGCCCTTTTACGGGAGTCCTTCATTTTGCATTGCCTTAAATAAACCCATAAATACGTGCAAAGTATCAGAATAACACATCACTTTCTCTCATCACTTTATATCTCACCGCATTGTCGTCAACAATATAATTGTTATCATTATCGTCGTCCTCATTGTCATCGTCATGATTGTCATCCCTCTTTCCAGGTCAATACATTGAGCACCACTTTGTGTGGGGAAGGGTCAACGGCGGTTGTGCGCTACGGGTAGACTCGCTCTCGCCGTAGGGAATGTAGAATTTCCAACACCCGCTCATCGTGTTTTTTGTTTGCAGAGACACAGCAGGAGCGACCGCGACACCGATGGGCGCAGTAAGTACAGTGCACACCTGCCTACAGATCGCACCTCTTCACCGTCACAACAAGAAGAGACAAAGATCCCCGTGTAGCCTTTCACAGACTGTTGGGGCAAGTGCTGTTAGCGAGCAGCACCTACAAAGGTCGGCACGGCACGCAACACGAGGGGGTGGGTGGCCAGTACCACGCCCGGCTGCCTTTGTCTCCCCCATATCTGATGTTCGCACACAGACCGCACCAGCTCATTATTTAAGCCTGAGTCGACCTAGGGGAAGGTCGAATACCTGTCAGAGATTCGCCACTCTTATCTGTCATGAGTGGCCATCGAACTCGGGTCGCCTGGTTGGTAGCGCAGTGCGCCAACCAAAACACTGCCGCGCCCCACAACCATCACACAACAAATCACACGCACCCACCCCCCATTAACATCGCACACTACAACAGATAACACACACAACACAACCGTCACACACACAGTGTACACGATAGGTAATGCCCACGGTACAGGCATAGGTTTGTGTGTGTGTGTGTGAGCGTTGATTGTGTGCGGAGCAGCAGGGTAGTGGTCAGCGAGCTGCGCAACAAACCCGGCGACCCGAGTTCGATTGCCGCTCACGGCTAACGCCAGTGATGACTTTCCTGGGCCGCCCCTAGGTCGACTCAGCCTGAAATGAGCACCTGGTGCGGTGTGTAAACATCGCCACTGGGGAAACAAAGGCATCGGGGCGTGGTGTTAGCCACCCACCCCCCTCGTGTGCCGTGCCGACCTTCATGGGTGCTCGCTAACAGCACTTGCCCCTACAGTCTATTAAGCCTTTGGAGGGGATCTTTGTCTTTGCATTGATTGTGCCCTGCGTAGAGGTTCAGTGGTACGAACTGAACGGAAATAAATGACAAAGCAACACAAACCAAGACGAACAAAAATGAGACATAACCCGGAGTCGATCATTGAATCGATTCTCGGCACTCCCTGGGTGACCATTTGTCACATTTCCATGTCCCTTAGCAAAAAACTATTTGTTATGATACCAGGTAAGGCCCACTGAGCTATGTAGCCCGTTCTTAAGAAGCGACCTGGCTGTCACAAACGATAGCCCAACGCAGCGGCTCATCGTCATCGTGTGAAAATATATAGCGGCAGCCAAACACTCTAAAACACGTGACCTCGATTCTAAATGTGGTGGGAAAAACCGGAGGACCCGGGGAAAAACTCCACGCGACCACGGGGAGAGAGAGGCACGCAAACTCCAAATACACAGCAGCAGCAGCAGGCGTCGTGAGGTCTGTGATCGCACCCACGACCTGCTGCGTGCCGGGACGAGGGAGCTGGCATCTTGCCACCGTGGCGCCAGAGGTCGCAAACGGGTTTTGATTCCTTACTCGTACCCGTACCCGACCGCACCAGGGTCGCAAACGGGTACCCGTACCCGGCCGTACCCGTACCCTACCCGTACCAAGCCGGGTACGGGTAGGGTACGGGTTTCGGGTACCTGATTGCGACCTCTGGGATGAAGCCATGTTGCAGGCGCCCGTGGGTTGATTCTAGGAACTTGAATTGTGAGATGAGACAAAACGTTGGGAAATGAGTGGCAAACAGTTACTCACCAGTGACTCACGGTCTACCCGTACCCGTACCCGGCCGCACCAGGGTCGCAAACGGGTACCCGTACCCGGCCGAGTAGCCGGGTATCGGGTAGGGTACGGGTATCGGGTACCCAGTTGCGATCTCTGCGTGGCGCCCCAGTTGTGAGTGGGCATCGCCAGGGCGCTTCACGCTCCCCTGCGTGTGCATAACGTTTGCCTTGTTTGCTCTGTCGCTGTGCCCAGGTTTCGACCGAGATGACAAGCACGGGGTGAGTGTGCAATGAGTTCATCTTGTCACGTGGTTGATGTAACAACAAATGTACCCAGTTGTAGGCTGTGCAGGGTGGGGGGTTGGCATCTGCTCATCGTTGTGCTGTGTCTGTTCACAGAGGCAGCGCTCTGAGAAGCTGGACTACGATGATTCTGGCCGTGAGTTTCTCGCTCACTCACAACCACAACAACACAAAGATCCCCACCCCCCCCCTCCCCCCGTGTAGCCTTTAGCAGACCGTCAGGGGCAAGTGCTGATCGCGAGTAGCAGCCAGCGGCTATGAAGGCCGGAACGGCCACCTTCATCTGCCAGTGGCGATGTTCACACACCGCAGCAGGTACTCATTTGAGGCCGAGTCGACCTAGGGGAGGAGGCCCAGGACCGGTTCGGATAATCGTCACTGGTGTTGGCCGTGAGCGGGAATCGAGCTCGGGTATTTGAAGGCTACACGGGGGATCTTTGTTTTTGGTGGAGAGAGAGAGAGACCGGCTGGCTTGTCAGGCCGTCCGCATGTCGAACTTGGAAGTTCCCCGTGGCCCAAGGATGTCGCTGGATAAGTGCGCGGCGCACACGCATGCAGCAAGCGCGTGATGACGCGCCTACACAACGTCGTTAGGTCTGTAACCTACACGGGGGCTGCTTTATTCATGCGCTGAACATTACGCCCCTGTTAAATGCGTGAACAAATACCAATAACCGATCCGTAATGAAGTGTGTTTGCCCCGTATCATCATCCCTCCAGGGTGGTTAAAACGAGTACCACTTAAGTGAGGAAGTTAAAGTGTGTGGTTGTCCTGTGGAAGAGACTTGTCCCCCGCCATAGGAATGTGTAATTTACAGCACTGGCTCTGTGCAGGAGCTGTAAACAGGAGGACAGGAAATCACTCTTGTTGTTACTGTTGTTGTGACCGTGATCTAGCAAGTGACGATGTTTACGCGCGCGCATTCTAATCACCATCATCCCCGCTGTGTTTCACGTCTCTCCACAGGCCGGATGAAGAACAGACGGGAGTCCTTCAAGTAAGGTTCACATTCAGAGTAAAACCAGATGTCATCAATTACTATTTCCCCCGTGTCCTATTGTATAATGACACGTGGATGCGAGTGTATATTTTGTGTATTTTTGTTAAACTACAGCTAAGGCCCACCGAGCTATGTGGCTCTCTTTCAGAAGCGATCTGGCCTCGCGTAATGGTAGCTCAACGAAGTGGCTTATCATGCGTGGAAATTTATAGCAGCAGCCAAATACTCGTTAAACGCGCGACGTCGATTCTACATGGGGAGGGAAAAACCGGAGCGGCCTGAGAAAAATCTACTCGACCATTGGGAGAGAGAGGAGAGAGACGCAGACTCCACAGATACAGCAGGCGTCAGGGTCGGGATCAAACCCACGACCTCCTGCATACCAGGCGAGAGAGTTAACATCTCGCCACTGCCGGCACCCCATGCACATGCCCCAGTCGGTCATCCGCTTGGGGTCCCGTGACCTCCCTCCAGCCAGCAGCGAGAAGCCGTGCAAACTTCACGCGTGACGTCCTCAAAAGTTCTACTTAGCCTGGCACGAGCCTCTCTCGCCTGGGGCGGTGACGTCAGCGCCACGGAGTGGCATGGCCGGTTGGGATGAGTGGCTGTGTCAAGATGGGTGGAACTGCCACGCAGCTGACGTGAGCACGCGTGGTGGCCATGGTGACAAACACGTTGCAGGGCGGTAGTTGATACCTATGGGACGTTTTTTGCTATCGAAATGATGAATGTCATGACTGCAAGGATTCATACTCTTTGGTTTTTTCGGTAAAGTAACGTAGGCTAAAACTTAAAATAAATTAAATCACGACGTTTCGGGCGCAACACAAGCGTCCTTCTTCAGGCGGGGGCAACTTAGCAAAAGCACACCGCTTAGGGAAAGCACACCGCTTAAGCCCGAAACGTCGTGATTTAATTTATTTAAATTTTTTACCTACGTTACTTTTTCCGAAAAAAACAAAGAGTATGGGTGGAACTTCCACGCAGCTGACGTGAGCGCGCGTGGTGGCCATGGATGACCAACACGTTGCAGGGCGGCGGTTGATACCTATGCGACGTTTTTTTAGCTACGATGAAAATTATGAAAAAATTATGAAGAGGCTTCACTCTTTCTTGCAATGTTAAACGGGAGGTGTTTAGATGTTTGAACGCCAAATAAGATCCCTATCGCAAGGCATCAAGTCTGCATTAATCGCACACACGCTTGTGGAAAAACATTCAAACCAAGATGCTCTGATAATATTTGCATTGTCTTTGAAACTGATTGGCCTTCACCAGATCCAAATACTATAATTGATCATGATTTGAAGCTTTCGTGACTGCAGGATTCCATACTCTTTGGTTCTTTCGGTAAAGTCACAGTGGGTAGAAAAATAATAGGTCACGACGTTTCGATCGCAATCGTCATCGGGTGTTTTTTCTTGCTGTGGTTGTCCCACCTGATGACAATTGCTTTTGTTGCCATCGAAACGTCGTGATCTATTATTTTTCTACCTTCGTGACTTTACCGAAAGAACCAAAGAGTACTATAAATGATGTTTTCATCAGTTAGCCAAGGTCGCTTGCGCTTTACTGGTTTTACCGAGTAGTAGCGCAAGTCCGTGAACCCGCGAGTCGGTGACGCGGTTGCCGTGTCTGCAGGCAGCAGTACTACTGCGCCGTGTGCAAGTACGGCACGGCGGAGGAGGCTGACATCGAATACCACCTGGGCAGCCCCTGCCACCAGTTCATCCTGCGCCTCATCAAGGAGGCCTTCCCTGACGAGAAGGGCATGTCCGAGTTCCTGCACGTAAGGCTGCACCCCAACGCCTCCCTCCCTCTGCTCCCTCCCTCCCTGCACTCCCTCTGCTTGCTTCCTCCCTCCGCTCCCTCCCTCCGCTCCATCCTCTCCCTCCGCTCCCTCCCTCCGCTCCCTCCCTCCGCTCCCTCCGCTCTCTCCCTCCGCTCCCTCCCTCCGCTGCTTCCGCTCCCTCCGCTCTCTCCCTCCCTCCGCTCTCCGCTCCCGCCCCCCCAACCACCCCGCCCCGTCACTTTATCAGTTGCTGCCGTTGTCCAGTTCAAGTTGACCTTGTCTAAGCAGGGCAGAGCGAGCGTGAGCGGAAACGGCGACGAGTCCCCTGCACGCAAGAGTGACCCACGACCTGGGTCACCGAAATGTCGTTGATTGCTTCTGATAACCGTTGGTAGTGAACACTGTAGTCAGGCCACAGTTGTCTCCGTCAGCCAACTTCCTACTTGTTGGGCAAAGGGTCTCCTCCCCTATTTTCTCAGGGCCTTGAGAGAGGCTGTGAGTGTGTGTGTGTTTTCCTGTTTGTGTGTGTGAGTGCGCGTGTGTGTGAGTGTGTGAGGAGCGATAGTGTAGCGGTTAGCGAGCTGCGGTATGAACCCGGCGACACGGGTTCGATTCCCGCTCTTGGCCAACACCAGTGACGATTATTTGAACCGGTCCTGGGCCTCCCCTAGGTCGATTCAGCCTCAAATGAGTACCTGGTGCGGTGCGTAAACATCGCCACTGGGGAGACAAAGGTAGCCTGGCGTGGTGTTGGCCACCCACCCCCTCGTGTACCGTTCCGGCCTTCATAGGTGCTCGCTAACAGCACTTGCCCCTACAGTCTGTTAAGGCTATATGAGGGATCTTTGTCTTTTGTCTGCGTGCGCGTGTGTGTGCATTTGTGTTTTCCTGTTTGAGTATGCGTGCACATGCAGCTGCCAATTGTGCTCTATTGAGCTTCCTTTGCACCGTACGTAAGCCAACTAACCTAATGGAAGGTTTCTAATTGGAGATTTCTAATCGATGGTACGGAGGTTTCTACACCGCGTATGCTGGGAATGCGTGGGTACGGTTTTGGCCGCGTGCCTTCGGAATGCGATGCGGAGAATCCGTTCTTATTATTTGTCCGACGGTCGCGCCGCGTGAGTAAAGCGTTCGGCCTTCATTGCTCTTAGATGAGCGTCAGTGCTGGGGCACGACGACCCAGGCTCAGATTTTCGATCCCGACCCTGACAATGCCTGCCGTTGTATATTTGGAGTTTGCGCGTCTGTCCGTCTCCCCGTGGTCTCGTGGATTTTTCTCGGGGTCCTCTCCGTTTTTTTCCCCGCCGCATTTAGGATGAACGTGACGTGTTGAGAGTAAGTGGCTGCCGCTAGCAGTTTCCACGCGACGACGACGACGATGATGAGGAGCCACTTGATTGAGCTGTCGTTCGTGATATCCAGGTCGCTTCTGAATTAGAGCCACATCGTAGCTCAGTGGGCCTTACCTGGCCAAATCAATGTTTTTATTAGGCTTATAGTTTGCTCACAAGTTTTCACAGTAGGGGGCGGGTGGGTGGAGTGTGTGTGTGGGGGGCAGTCTGCGTGGAGTAGGCTTGAGATGCACGCCGCATGTTGTTCTGGAGAGCCGGGTCTGGGGTGGGTGCGAGACAGCCCGCACACAGCAAGCCAGGGCCGTGTTGTCGTGTTTGTGCTGTTGCTGGGCGGGGAGGGAGGGGTTTGTGGGGTGGTCCGTCAGCGTGTGCGCGTGCGCGTCTGCGTGCGTGTAACCCTAACGGCACTGCGCAACGAAGTCACAACTCGAGAAAGAGCGATCTTTTGCAGATCTACTTTTACATTTTCCCTTCTTGTCTTGTAGCAATACATAACGTTGAAAAACAAGAAATTGGCAACTCGCAAGAAGGAGTATGGCAAAGTGAACCGACACGAGAAGCCACAGAGCTCCAAGTCGAAGGAGGAGGAGGAGAAGACTTTGAGCGATGTCGGCGCCGAGGACGAAGAGACAGCCGCCGTCGAGGTGGCCGGTGCCGACCCGGCACTCGCGGCCGACCAAACCGCCGCCGGTCTCCCCGCCGACGCTAAACCGCAACGGGAAGACGACGAATCGATGGACACGACTGGGACAGTGGTAGAGGCCTCCGCCGTTGTCGCAGCCGCCGTGACGACCGAGGTCTTGGGAACCGAAGAAGTCGCGGCCGAGGTGCCCGGCGAAACAACAACAACAACAACAACGGGGGGGAAAACAACAACAATGGGGGAAACGACGACAACAACAACAACGGGCGGTAAAGCCTGCGACGTGGCAGACTCTGAGAGCACTGCTGTTCTTCCCGCGGAGGAGGCCGCCGCCACCACCGCCGATGATTCCACCTCCGCCGAACCCGCCGACGCCGCCGCCGACGAACGCAAAGAGGAGGAGGGGTCCGCGCCCACGCAGGGTGCGGAAGCGCCAGCCTCGTCGTCTTCTGTCGAGGAAGCGGCGGAGAAGCGGCCAGAGGCGTCGGCCGAAGCGCAGCAAGACGCCGAGAAGGCGCCGGCAGAAGCCACGAATGAGGCGGGAGAGGCCGCGGTTGATCCGGCCGAGCAGAGCTTTGACCCGTTGGCAGGTAAACCGGAGAGGGCTGTCGCAGGGAGTGCTGACGAGCGCCGGGCAGCTCCTCGTCCTCACCCCCACCCCCTCCCCGCCACCCACCCACACCCCCTCCTCCTCCTCCCCTCCGGTGCCGCCCGCGCGCACGCCTCGGTAAACCCTCTGCGGTTTAAAAACGAGGAGGAGTGGAAATTCCGTTTGGATTCCGTTTGGGGCCCTCGTGCGTTTTTCTAAACCGAAACGAAAAAAAAGTCAAAACAAGCAAAGCGAAAGCAGTGACACGCCGCCAGACCCAAAGTCGATGAGCGCCACCACGCTCGCTTGGCCAGCCAGTTGCGTTGTGTGTGCGTGGGGGTGCGTGCATGTGTGCGTGTGCACGCGTGCGACGTCGTGTATCCGCGTGTGCGTGCGAGCGCGTGTGTGTGTACGTATGCGACATGTGCCGAACTAGTGGCGTGCGTACGTGTGTGCGTGTGTGTGTGTGCGGGGAATCGTGCTTAGTGGAGGATGCGACATGAAGGGGCAGATGTAACATTTCACTTCTTCACTAACAGCAATTGCTGGGAACGGTACGAACTTCTTTCGCACCCTACGTAGCCAACCATGCTCGTCGGAGGTGCAGTGTCAGTCTATGGGCAGTGTTGAGTCTATGGGCAGTGTTGAGTCTATGGGTAGTGTTGAGTCTATAGGTAGTGTTGAGTCTATGGGCGGTGTTGAGTCTATAGGTAGTGTTGAGTCTATGGGCAGTGTTGAGTCTATGGGCAGTGTTGAGTCTATAGGTAGTGTTGAGTCTATGGGCGGTGTTGAGTCTATAGGTAGTGTTGAGTCTATGGGCAGTGTTGAGTCTATGGGCAGTGTTGAGTCTATGGGCAGTGTTGAGTCTATGGGTAGTGTTAAGTCTATGGGCAGTGTTGAGTCTATGGGCAGTGTTGAGTCTATGGGCAGTGTTGAGTCTATGGGCAGTGTTGAGTCTATGGGTAGTGTTAAGTCTATGGGCAGTGTTGAGTCTATGGGCAGTGTTGAGTCTATGGGCAGTGTTGAGTCTATGGGCAGTGTTGAGTCTATGGGCAGTGTTGAGTCTATGGGTAGTGTTGAGTCTATGGGCAGTGTTGAGTCTATGGGTAGTGTTAAGTCTATGGGCAGTGTTGAGTCTATGGGCAGTGTTGAGTCTATGGGCAGTGTTGAGTCTATGGGCAGTGTCAGTTTATGGGCAGTGTTGAGTCTATGGGCAGTGTTGAGTCTATGGGTAGTGTTGAGTCAATGGGCAGTGTTGAGTCTATAGGTAGTGTTGAGTCTATGGGCGGTGTTGAGTCTATAGGTAGTGTTGAGTCTATGGGCAGTGTTGAGTCTATGGGCAGTGTTGAGTCTATGGGCAGTGTTGAGTCTATGGGTAGTGTTAAGTCTATGGGCAGTGTTGAGTCTATGGGCAGTGTTGAGTCTATGGGCAGTGTTGAGTCTATGGGCAGTGTTGAGTCTATGGGTAGTGTTAAGTCTATGGGCAGTGTTGAGTCTATGGGCAGTGTTGAGTCTATGGGCAGTGTTGAGTCTATGGGCAGTGTTGGGTCTATGGGCAGTGTTGAGTCTATGGGTAGTGTTGAGTCTATGGGCAGTGTTGAGTCTATGGGTAGTGTTAAGTCTATGGGCAGTGTTGAGTCTATGGGCAGTGTTGAGTCTATGGGCAGTGTTGAGTCTATGGGCAGTGTTGAGTCTATGGGCAGTGTTGAGTCTATGGGTAGTGTTAAGTCTATGGGCAGTGTTGAGTCTATGGGCAGTGTTAAGTCTATGGGCAGTGTTGAGTCTATGGGCAGTGTTGAGTCTATGGGCAGTGTTAGTCTATGGGTAGTGTTGAGTCTATGGGTAGTGTTGAGTCTATGGTCATTGTGTACGTTGAACTTCTTTCGCACCACCGTATGTAGCCAACCGCGCTAATCGGAGGTGCGGGGGAAGGACAACAATCTAAACACAAAAGGCCAGTTCTAAACAAGTGAGCTTGTCCGTCTTAGACGACGATTTAAAAGTTCATCACAGCTCCCGGCGGCTTCCTAATATCGGACGGGGAAGAGCGTTCCAGACGGGCGGGCCGCGGAGTCGCGTCCGAGAGGCCAGAGAAGGATTGAGAGAGCGAGAGAGCCTCCCCCGCCTGGCGTCACAGCCGCCCCCCCGGTCCCCGTCACCAGCCGACCGCCGCCCCTCCGCGCTCTCCCTCTCTCCGTCTGTGCGCCCCCCACTCTCCCACCGTCTCTCTGCTGCTGCTGCAGGCCTCGAGCTGGAGGATCTGATGCAGCGCGAGGAGGTGGTGGCCTGCTACATCTGCAACGTCTACATCCCCCTGTCGGCACACGAGGTGGAGGGCCACATGGCGGCGACGTCGCACGTCAACAAGAGGGAGGCGAGTCGCTTGCACGTGCCTGTCGCGGTCTCTCTCCCCCTCTCTCTCCATCTCTCTCTATCTTTGGGCAGTGTTGAGTCTATGCTCAGTGTTGAGTCTGTGGGCAGTGTTGAGTCTATGGGCAGTGTTGAGTCTGTGGGCAGTGTTGAGTCTATGGGCAGTGTTGAGTCTATGGGCAGTGTTGAGTCTGTGGGCAGTGTTGAGTCTATGGGCAGTGTTGAGTCTGGGCAGTGTTGAGTCTATGGGCAGTGTTGAGTCTATGGGCAGTGTTGAGTCTATGGGTAGTGTTGAGTCTATGGGCAGTATTGAGTCTGTGGGCAGTGTTGAGTCTGTGGGCAGTGTTGAGTCTGTGGGCAGTGTTGAGTCTATGGGCAGTGTTGAGTCTATGGGTAGTGTTGAGTCTGTGGGCAGTGTTGAGTCTATGGGCAGTGTTGAGTCTGGGTAGTGTTGAGTCTGTGGGCAGTGTTGAGTCTGTGGGCAGTGTTGAGTCTATGGGCAGTGTTGAGTCTATGGGCAGTGTTGAGTCTATGGGCAGTGTTGAGTCTATGCTCAGTGTTGAGTCTATGGGCAGTGTTGAGTCTATGGGCAGTGTTGAGTCTATGGGCAGTGTTGAGTCTGTGGGCAGTGTTGAGTCTATGGGCAGTGTTGAGTCTATGGGTAGTGTTGAGTCTATGCTCAGTGTTGAGTCTATGCTCAGTGTGTATGTATATTGAACTTTGTTTCGCACCGTACGGAGCCAACCGCGCTAACTGGAGGCGGGTGGTCCCTGTGTGTGTGTGTGTGTGCTCCTGCAGAAGTACATGTTTGAAAAGAAGTCGGAGATCCTCCACATAGCCAGGAGCATCCTCAACCAGCCGGACGTGGAGGAGATGTTTGAGAAATTTAAGAAGGCAAGTGACGGAGCAAACGTTACCCACTGTGGGTCGTCTTCCCGAGTGGCCTGGGTTCGATTCCCGACCCGGGTGCCTCTCTCTCGGGAGCGGCGTAGCGGTCGACGCTGTGCCGCGCTTCGGACCCGGCCACCCGAGTTCGATTCCCGCTGGCGGCCGACACCAACGCTCCGGTGACGATTGTCTGAAGCGGTTCTAGGCCGCCCCTCCTCGTAGGTCGAATTGGCCTCAAATGAGCACCCGGCGCGGTGTCTGGTGAACATCGTCACTGGGGGAGAGAAAGGCGGTCGTGGTGCTGGCCACCCACCCCAGAGGTCGCAAACGGGTTTTGATTCCTTACCCGTACCCGGCCGCACCAGGGTAGCAAATGGGTACCCGCACCCGTACCCAGCCGAGTACGGGTTCCCGTTCCCTACCCGTACCCTACCCGTACCCTACCCGAAATGAGTGACAAATCGTTACTCACCAGTGACTCACGGCCTACCCGTACCCGTACCTGGCTGCACCAGGGTCGCAAACGGCTACCCGTACCCAGCCGGGTATCGGGTACCCGGTTGCGACCTCTGCCCCACCCCGACCGCGCGCCGTGCCGGCCTTCGCAGGCGCTGCTCGCTAACAGCACTTGGCCCAACATTCTGTTTTGGCGTTGGGGGGGGGGCGTGGGGTTTGTTCAATCATAAAACTATTTTTATCTGACCAGGTAAGGCCCACTGAGCTACGTAGCTCTTTGTTCAGAAGCGGCCTTGGCCAAGAATCGTAATCGTCGCGTGGAAATTTGTAGCAGCAGCCAAATCCTCTAAACGCGTGACGCTGATTCTGAATGTGGAGGGGAAAAAACTAACAACCGGAGGACCCGGAGAGAAATCGACGCGACCGCTGGTACAGAGAGAGAGAGACACTCAAACTCCAAATATACAGCAGCAGCAGGCGTCAGGGTCGGGGTCGAAGCCACGACCTCCTGCGTACAAGGCGAGGGAGTTAACATCTCGCCGCCGCGCGTCTTTGACGGTTGTGGTGTTGGCAGGGTGAGGACCCCTTCTCGGTGGAGTTCAAGGAGCACGAGAAGAAGATGGTGGAGAACGCCAAGAAGGAGAGCGAGCGGAAGGCGGCCACCGCCGTCACCGCCGCCGCTGCCGCTGCTGCCAAGAGTGGCGAAGCTGAGGGGGGAGCGGCGGAGGGAGGAGCGGAGGGGAAAGAGGGAGTGGAGGGAGGCACGGGGGAGGAGGAAGCAGGGGAGGGAGATGCGGACGGCGTAGCAGTAGCAGAGGCTGAGCCAGCAGAGGGGGCAGTGGGCGCATCGCAGGGTGAGGGTGGTGAGGGTCGTGAGGGTGGCAAGGGTGGGGAAGGTGGGGAGGGTCGTGAGGGTGGCAAGGGTGGGGAGGGTCGTGAGGGTGGTGAGGGTGGGGAGGGTCGTGAGAGTGGGGAGGGTGGTGAGGGTGGGGAGAGTCGTAAGAGTGGTGAGGGTGGCAAAGGTGGGGAGGGTGGGGAGGGTGGGGAGGGTGGGGAGGGTCGTGAGGGTGGGGAGGGTCGTGAGGGTGGGGAGGGTCGTGAGGGTGGGGAGGGTGGTGAGGGTGGGGAGGGTCGTGAGGGTCGTGAGGGTGGGGAGGGTGGGGAGGAGGCGATGGAGGTGGGCAGCGAAGGCGACGCCGTCGTTGTCCCGGTCTCCGTCGACGCGCCGGACGCGTCCACGGAGGGTCAGGTGGGCGCGGGGGGCAGCACGGGGGACACGGCAGAGCCCCCCGCGGGGGACGCGGCGCCCCCCACCGTGGTGGCGGGGGAGGGGGAGGGTGGGCAGCAGCTGGCGGCGGCAGCGGCTACCCAAGAGGGCGCTGACCCCCAAGAGGGGTCGGGGCCGTGGCACCCGGGGGAAAGCGAAGGGGAAGAATTGAGGAGGGGGGGGCGCCCAGTCTCCCCGCCCGCGTGGCCCGCGGGTCGTGCGGAGCTCGCGGCCCGCGTCGGCCTGTCGTGGCGAGGGGGGGAGGAGGAGGAGGTGGCGGTACTGACGGTGGTGAGCGTCGTTTGCTCGCCGCTCGTCCGTTAGCGCTCCACACGAACCCCTTAGCGCTGGGGGGTTTCGTCGTCGTCGGCCGAGCGCCGCCCAAACTCGAAGCCCCTAGTCACGTCAGGCCGCAGGTTGTTTTAATTTGCGGTGAACGATAATAATAATAATAACGTTAAATCCTGTCGACGTTTTAAAAAAAAATCACTATTTTATAACGAGCATGTGCGTGGGACTGGGTGGGGGAGAGGGGGGGGGGTGAGCCGTCGCTGCCGTACGCGTGGTGGTGGTGGCGGTGGTGGTGGTTGGGTGCGAGAGAGAGGGGGGGGGCGGAGGTTGTCACTTAACCAGACGAGGTCCCCACCGAGCTGCGTGGCTCTTTCACAAGCGGGACTTGGCCACCGCAAATGATCGCGTCGACAGAGTGGCTGATGACGTCATCGTCACGTGGACATTCATAGCAGCAGCCAAATGCGCTTGAGCGCGGTGACGTCGGTTCGAAATTGTGGAGGGGAAAAACGGGAAGAACCCGAGAAAAATCCACGCGACCTCGGGGAGAGAGACGCAAATTCCGAATATACAGCAGCAGGCGTCAGGGTCAGGATCAAACCCACGACCTCCTGCGTACCAGGCAAGGAAGTTAACATCTAGCCACCGTGATGATGATGATGAGAGAGAGACGCAAACTCCGAATGTACAGCAGCAGGCTCTCAGGGTCGGGATCAAACACCACGACCTCCTGCGTACCAGGCAAGGGAGTTAACATCTAGCCACCGTGATGATGATGATGAGAGAGAGACGCAAACTCCGAATACACAGCAGCAGGCGTCGGTCAGGATCAAACCCACGACCTCCTGCGTACCAGGCGAGGGAGTTAACATCTCGCTACCCGCGGCGCCCACGTGTCTCTGTGAGAAGCTCCCTCGCCACAAGGCCCCCCCCCCCCCCCCCCCACTCACCGCTTGTAAGATTTGGTGAATCTCGGTTCTCACCCGGTTCGTTACAAAGCACGGCAGCCGTCAGTAGAGTCGCTGTCATTGACATTCCGTCGTCGGCCATTAAAATTATTCAATTCCTCCTGCACCTGTCCGACTCACTCTCGCGCGCGCGCTTGTGTGTGTGTGGGGAGACAAAGGCGGCCGGGCGTGGTGCTGGCCACCCACCCCCCTTCTCGAACTCACCAGCAGGTCCCAGGGGCTTCCCGACGGACCCTCCGTGACCCTGGCCCCAGTGCGTCCATTCTGGCTCCACACAGCCGCTCACTGGCTCGCGCTTGCTGTTTGTAAACCGCAGTTGCCGCTTGTGGTCACCAGCCGGCGCTACTACACTGCACTATACACTACACTATACAGTACAATACTATACACTACTATACACCACACACTTATACACTGCACTATACACTACTGTACACCACACTATACACTATACTACACTACAATACACTATATACTACACTGCACTATACACTACACCACTATACACTACACTCCTTTAACACTACACTACTATACACTGCACTATACACTACTATACAATACACTGCACTATATACACTACTATATTTACACTACTATACAGGAGGAGAGGGGAGTGGGAAGGAGGACGGGGGTGCAGAGGGGAGGAGGAGGAGGGTGCAGAGGGGTGGAGGAGGTTCGTGAAGGACGCTACTGGGCAGTTGGGAGGCAGTCGCCCTCCAGCAACAACGAGCGGAGCGCTGGGAGGCTAAAACGCAGCGGTTTTGGCGCAGTGGGTAGTTGGTGGTGGTGGTGCATCTGCCGGTCATCTCAGTCGGTCATCCCATGGCACCTGCTGGGTCCGTACCGTGACCTCTTGCCAGCGAGCCTTCGACACCTCACGTGATAGCCTCAAAGTGCACCTAGCCTGGCACAGGCACCGTACTGATGATGAGAGAGAGAGACGCAAACTCCAAATATACAGAAGCAGGCGTCAGGGTCGGGATCGAACCCACGACCTCCTGTACACCAGGCGAGGTAGTTAACATCTCCTAGCCACCGTGATGATGATGAGAGAGACACGCAAACTCCAAATACACAGCAGCAGGCGTCAGGGTCGGGATCGAACCCACGACCTCCTGTACACCAGGCGAGGTAGTCAACATCTAGCCACCGTGATGATGATGAGAGAGAGAGACACGCAAACTCCAGTGCGTACGTCTCCAGTAGTTTTTGGTTTGTTCGCTATGGGAGGAGGAACGCCGGAGCGAAGGCGCGCGGAACAGCGGGGAGTGATAGAGAGACAGAGACAGACAGACAGAGAGACAGACGGAGAGAGAGAGGGGACACGCAAACCGCACAACACGAAGGGTGCCCGAGTCGGAAGTCGAACCCAGGAGGCGCTTGTTGTTGTTGTTGTTGTTCCACTACGCTGGCTTCCTCCACGTGGTTTCTACGCCGTCGTGGGGGGGAGGGGGTCTTTTTTTCATTTTTTACGCAGCGCAGAGTTTTTGTGACCAACGCTACGATTTTTTTTTACGTTTTCGGATTCCGCATCAAAAATCTCGTGTCGTTCTCCCTCCGCCACCCGACATAGCGGCACCCACGGGGGGGCGAGGGGGGGTTGTGGTGAAAGCAACACCGGATTATCCTAGCAGCAAAAGTAGCTACTACTACTACTTAGGCCTCGACAGGGTAAGGTCATTTACCCTTTTTACCTGGGTCAAGGTGTCGACATGCCAAGGGGTGAGGTAAAGGGTAGGGTAAAGGTAGCGTGAAGTGTTACCCAGTAGGGTAAAGGTAGCATGAAGTGTTACCCAGTAGGGTAAAGGTAGCATGAAGTGTTACCCAGTAGGGTAAAGGTAGCGTGAAGTGTTACCCAGTAGGGTAAAGGTAGCATGAAGTGTTACCCAGTAGGGTAAAGGTAGCATGAAGTGTTACCCAGTAGGGTAAAGGTAGCATGAAGTGTTACCCAGTAGGGTAAAGGTAGCATGAAGTGTTACCCAGTAGGGTAAAGGTAGCATGAAGTGTTACCCAGTAGGGTAAAGGTAGCATGAAGTGTTACCCAGTAGGGTAAAGGTAGCATGAAGTGTTACCCAGTAGGGTAAAGGTAGCATGAAGTGTTACCCAGTAGGGTAAAGGTAGCATGAAGTGTTACCCAGTAGGGTAAAGGTAGCATGAAGTGTTACCCAGTAGGGTAAAGGTAGCATGAAGTGTTACCCAGTAGGGTAAAGGTAGCATGAAGTGTTACCCAGTAGGGTAAAGGTAGCATGAAGTGTTACCCAGTAGGGTAAAGGTAGCATGAAGTGTTACCCAGTAGGGTAAAGGTAGCATGAAGTGTTACCCAGTAGGGTAAAGGTAGCATGAAGTGTTACCCAGTAGGGTAAAGGTAGCATGAAGTGTTACCCAGTAGGGTAAAGGTAGCATGAAGTGTTACCCAGTAGGGTAAAGGTAGCATGAAGTGTTACCCAGTAGGGTAAAGGTAGCATGAAGTGTTACCCAGTAGGGTAAAGGTAGCATGAAGTGTTACCCAGTAGGGTAAAGGTAGCATGAAGTGTTACCCAGTAGGGTAAAGGTAGCATGAAGTGTTACCCAGTAGGGTAAAGGTAGCATGAAGTGTTACCCAGTAGGGTAAAGGTAGCATGAAGTGTTACCCAGTAGGGTAAAGGTAGCATGAAGTGTTACCCAGTAGGGTAAAGGTAGCATGAAGTGTTACCCAGTAGGGTAAAGGTAGCATGAAGTATTACCCAGTAGGGTAAAGGTAGCGTGAAGTGTTACCCAGTAGGTAAAGGTAGCGTGAAGTATTACCCAGTAGGGTAAAGGTAGCATGAAGTGTTACCCAGTAGGGTAAAGGTAGCATGAAGTGTTACCCAGTAGGGTAAAGGTAGCATGAAGTATTACCCAGTAGGGTAAATGTAGCATGAAGTGTTACCCAGTAGGGTAAAGGTAGCATGAAGTATTACCCAGTAGGGTAAAGGTAGCATGAAGTATTACCCAGTAGGGTAAATGTAGCATGAAGTATTACCCAGTAGGGTAAAGGTAGCATGAAGTGTTACCCAGTAGGGTAAAGGTAGCATGAAGTATTACCCAGTAGGGTAAATGTAGCATGAAGTGTTACCAGTAGGGTAAAGGTAGCATGAAGTATTACCCAGTAGGGTAAGGTAGCATGAAGTGTACCCAGTAGGGTAAAGGTAGCATGAAGTATTACCCAGTAGGGTAAATGTAGCATGAAGTGTTACCCAGTAGGGTAAATGTAGCATGAAGTGTTACCCAGTAGGGTAAATGTAGCATGAAGTGTTACCCAGTAGGGTAAAGGTAGCATGAAGTATTACCCAGTAGGGTAAAGGTAGCAGTGAAGTGTTACCCAGTAGGGTAAAGGTAGCAGTGAAGTATTACCCAGTAGGGTAAAGGTAGCATGAAGTGTTACCCAGTAGGGTAAAGGTAGCGTGAAGTATTACCCAGTAGGGTAAAGGTAGCATGAAGTGTTACCCAGTAGGGTAAAGGTAGCGTGAAGTATTACCCAGTAGGGTAAAGGTAGCAGTGAAGTGTTACCCAGTAGGGTAAAGGTAGCGTGAAGTATTACCCAGTAGGGTAAAGGTAGCATGAAGTAGTTACCCAGTAGGGTAAAGGTAGCGTGAAGTATTACCCGGTAGGGTAAAGGTAGCATGAAGTGTTACCCAGTAGGGTAAAGGTAGCATGAAGTATTACCCAGTAGGGTAAAGGTAGCATGAAGTGTTACCCAGTAGGGTAAAGGTAGCGTGAAGTGTTACCCAGTAGGGTAAAGGTAGCATGAAGTATTACCCAGTAGGGTAAAGGTAGCATGAAGTATTACCCAGTAGGGTAAAGGTAGCATGAAGTATTACCCAGTAGGGTAAATGTAGCATGAAGTGTTACCCAGTAGGGTAAAGGTAGCGTGAAGTATTACCCATAGGGTAAAGTAGCATGAAGTAGTTACCCAGTAGGGTAAAGGTAGCGTGAAGTGTTACCCAGTAGGGTAAAGGTAGCAGTGAAGTATTACCCAGTAGGGTAAATGTAGCATGAAGTAGTTACCCAGTAGGGTAAAGGTAGCGTGAAGTATTACCCAGTAGGGTAAATGTAGCATGAAGTGTTACCCAGTAGGGTAAAGGTAGCGTGAAGTGTTACCCAGTAGGGTAAAGGTAGCATGAAGTATTACCCAGTAGGGTAAAGGTAGCATGAAGTATTACCCAGTAGGGTAAAGGTAGCATGAAGTATTACCCAGTAGGGTAAAGGTAGCATGAAGTGTTACCCAGTAGGGTAAAGGTAGCATGAAGTATTACCCAGTAGGGTAAAGGTAGCATGAAGTGTTACCCAGTAGGGTAAAGGTAGCATGAAGTATTACCCAGTAGGGTAAAGGTAGCATGAAGTGTTACCCAGTAGGGTAAAGGTAGCATGAAGTGTTACCCAGTAGGGTAAAGGTAGCATGAAGTATTACCCAGTAGGGTAAAGGTAGCATGAAGTATTACCCAGTAGGGTAAAGGTAGCATGAAGTGTTACCCAGTAGGGTAAAGGTAGCATGAAGTGTTACCCAGTAGGGTAAAGGTAGCATGAAGTGTTACCCAGTAGGGTAAAGGTAGCATGAAGTATTACCCAGTAGGGTAAAGGTAGCATGAAGTGTTACCCAGTAGGGTAAAGGTAGCGTGAAGTATTACCCAGTAGGGTAAAGGTAGCGTGAAGTGTTACCCAGTAGGGTAAAGGTAGCATGAAGTATTACCCAGTAGGGTAAAGGTAGCATGAAGTGTTACCCAGTAGGGTAAAGGTAGCGTGAAGTATTACCCGGTAGGGTAAAGGTAGCGTGAATGTGTTACCCATCGGGTAAAGGGTACGTATTACCATAGGGTAAGGGCAGTGAATTGTTTACCCAGTAGGGTAAAGGTATAGATGAAGTATGACCCAGGGCTAGGGTTACAAGGTAGCGTGAAAGGGTTACCCAGTAGGGTAAGGTAGCGTGAAGTGTTAACCCATAGGGTAAAGGTAGCAATGAGAAGTGTTAACCCAGTAGAGGTAAAGGTAGCGTGAAGTGTTACCCGAGTAGGTAAAGGGTAGCAGTGAAGTAGGTACCCAGTAGGGTAAAAGGTAGCAGTGAAGTGTTACCCCAGTAGGGTTAAAGGTAGCGTGAAGTTTTACTCCAGATACGGGTAAAGGGTATCAGTGAAGTAGTTACACCAGTAGGTAAAGGTAGCAGTGAATGTGGTTACCCAGTAGGGTAAAGGTAGCGTGAAGTTTACCCAGTAGGTAAAGGTAAGCGTGGAAGTGTTTACCCAGTAGGGTAAAGGTAGCATGAAGTGATTACCCAGTAGGGTAAAGGTAGCGTGAAGTGTTACCCAGTAGGGTAAAGGTTAGCGTGAAGTGGTTACCCAGTAAGGGTCAAATGGTAGCATGAAGTAGTTACACCAGTAGGGTAAAGGTAGCAGGGAAGATGTTACCCAGTAGGGTAAAGGTAGCGTGAAGTGTTACCCAGTAGGGTAAAGGTAGCATGAAGTGTTACCCAGTAGGGTAAAGGTAGCATGAAGTATTACCCAGTAGGGTAAAGGTAGCATGAAGTGTTACCCAGTAGGGTAAAGGTAGCATGAAGTATTACCCAGTAGGGTAAAGGTAGCGTGAAGTGTTACCCAGTAGGGTAAAGGTAGCGTGAAGTGTTACCCAGTAGGGTAAAGGTAGCATGAAGTGTTACCCAGTAGGGTAAAGGTAGCATGAAGTATTACCCAGTAGGGTAAAGGTAGCGTGAAGTGTTACCCAGTAGGGTAAAGGTAGCATGAAGTGTTACCCAGTAGGGTAAAGGTAGCGTGAAGTGTTACCCAGTAGGGTAAAGGTAGCGTGAAGTATTACCCGGTAAATACGGTGCCTTGTTTACCGCTAAAATCTCCGTAGCGCAGTCCGTGGCTTCCATTTAATAAGTAATATTTTTTTAAAATATAAATGTAAACACGCTTTTATAGAATGTGCTAGTAATGGCAGAACTCCACGACTCCAGGAAGTGGCCCCGAAACTCGCCATAACGTGAGGGACCGTGGCCAATCACAGCCAACGTGAGTTGAGCGTGGACAATTAGACCCAAGCCGAAACATAACATGAACAAAAAAACGTTGAAAAATATATCTTTTTTATTTTTAATGATAGAATATAGTATTATAATAATACTGAGGTTCCAATGGTGAACATAGTATTGTCATCAGTATGACATAAGTATACCAAGTTTGCAGTCGATACCACATTAGGAAGTGGGTTAAATTGAGTTACAAGAATTGAGGATACAACAACGACAACAACAATAACGACAACAACAACAACAAGTGTGTAAAATTGTAATCATCGAGAATATTCTATATGAATAAAGCGCTCTACCTATAGCATTTACCGTTATAAACCTTTTTCATGTGTAGAAGTACCCCAGTAATTACCCTGTAATCGGGTTATTTGTATGGAGTAAGGGTAAAAGGTAGGGTAAAGGTAGGCTCGTTTTTACCTTACTGGCCTACTACTACACGTGTAGTAGCTACATGCACTACTACACATGCACTACTACAAATATAGCACTACTACTACACGTGTAGTAGCTAGTAGCTACTACTACTACACGTGTAGTAGTAGTAGCTACTACACGTGTAGTAGTAGCTGCTACTACACGTGTAGTAGTAGTAGCTACTACTACTACACGTGTAGTAGTAGTAGCTACTACACATGTACTACTACAAATATATCAGCTACTACTACACGTGTAGTAGTAGTAGCTACTACACATGCACTACTACAAATATAGCTACTACTACTACACGTGTAGTAGTAGTAGTAGCTACTACACGTGTAGTAGTAGCTGCTACTACACGTGTAGTAGTAGTAGCTACTACTACTACACGTGTAGTAGTAGTAGCTACTACACATGTACTACTACAAATATATCAGCTACTACTACACGTGTAGTAGTAGTAGCTACTACACATGCACTACTACAAATATAGCTACTACTACTACACGTGTAGTAGTAGTAGTAGCTACTACACATGTACTACTACAAATGAAGTAGCTACGGGCCCCGCACTTTCAATGGCCCCGCGCTCAATGCTTTCAAGCTATCAATCCCGGTTCAGTGATTCTGCACTCGCTCTATGACTATAGTACTATACCGCCTTCAACTTTTACAAACGACCGGGTGTTTAAGTTTAGCGATTCGCCGTTTTATCTGGCCGTATAGAAAATAAAAAAAATACGATCACTTTACTATGCGAGTTAAAAATGAGTTTTTAATATTGATGTGTCTTTTTAAATATATTGCCCCTTGATAACAACAACAAGACGCGCTACAGGCCCGGCACTGAGCTCCATCCGTCACTGCGTGGGGGGTGGGGGGGGCGGCCGCCTCAGTAGGTCACCACCTCCTGGGGCACCACCTCCAGCAGCAGCTGCATCTCCACGGTGAGACGCGCTGTGAAGACAGGGTGGCGGGGGGAGTGACATCGTCAACGTGAGGCAGCGCCTCCTCCCTCGAAACTCCATCACTCCCTTCCACCCCGTGGCTCTGACAGGTAGCAGGAGGCACACAGCAAAGTGTGTGGACTAATCTCCATCTGTTCCATCTCACTCCCTTCCACCCCGTGAGTCTGCCAGGTAGCAGGCGGCACAGCAACGTGTGTGGACTAATCTTCATCTGTTCCATCTCACTCCCTTTCACCCCGTGGAATAATCATCGTCGTCACGATCATCGTCGTCACGATAATCGTCACGATCATCATCGTCACGATCATCATCGTCACGATCATCGTCACGATCATCGTCGTCGTCACGATCGTCGTCGTCGTCACGATCATTGTCACGATCATCGTCGTCGTCATCGTCGTCACGATCATCGTCACAATAATCGTCACGATCATCATCGTCACGATCATCGTCGTCGTCACGATCATCGTCGTCACGATCATCGTCGTCGTCATGATCGTCGTCGTCGGCGTCTCGGCCGGTGCCCTCACCGAGGAGGCGGTCGGCGCATCTCCAGCGGCGGCGCAGGCGTCGTCCCCACGGCGAGGCGGTGAGCGCGTAGACCGGCACGCCGGTGAGCGTGATGAGGAAGCCCACGCCGACGTTCACCGGGTCGGCGTACAGCGACGCCAGCACCATGCACAGGCAGCAGAGGGTGAAGGTCGCGGGCACGAGCAGCGGAACCTTCCGGCGGAGACGGGGAGACGGGGAGAGGGGGAAACTAAACTCACACTGAGCTACGCAGCACTTGCTCAGAAGCGACCTCGCCACAACTGACAGCTCAACGAAGCCGCCTGGTGTACAGGAGGTCGTGGGTTCGATCCAGACACTGATGTCTGCTGCTGTGTATTTGGAGTTTGCGTGTCTCTCTCTCCCCGTGGTGAGATGTTAAGTACCTCGCTTGGTGTACAGGAGGTTGTGGGTTCGATCCCGACCCTGATGTCTGCTGTATATTTGGAGTTTGTGGGTCTCTCTCTCATCATCATCACGGTGGCTAGGAGATGTTAACTACCTCGCCTGGTGTACAGGAGGTCGTGGGTTCGATCCCGACCCTGACGCCTGCTGCTGTAAATTTGGAGTTTGCGTGTCTCTCTCCCGGTGGTGAGATGTTAACTACCTCGCCTGGTCTACAGGAGGTCGTGGGTTCGATCCCGCCCCTGACGCCTGCTGCTGCTGTATATTTGGAGTTTGCGTGTCTCTCTGTCTCCCGCGTGGGAAAAAAAACGGCGGACCCGTCCTCCGGAATGGACATCGCGCGTTTGGAATATTTGGCTGCTGTTCATGTCCACGTGATAATGATGATGATGAACCACTTTGTTGAGCTTTCATTTGTGGTGGCCAGGTCGCTTTTCAACAAGAGCTGCGTAACTCAGTGCGCCTTGCCTGGCAACATACAAAGAGTTTAGTTTTATTCGTATGTATATATTGTGATATACTTACCTTTCCTATGCTTTACACTCCTATCGTGTTGTCGTACCGTTAGTTGCTGTAACGTTCTGACCGAGTGGCCCCTACTGGACATCTGTGGAAAATAGAGCTTCATAGCTCATCGGATTCCTCCAGTGGAGTGGCTTCTATGAAAGTCCACTCGATAATAAATCCACTTCGTTTGGCAGAGTGGCAGGGCAGGGTGGCACGGTGGTAGGGAAGGGAAGCAGGGTGGCAGGGTAGCAGGGTGGTAGAGCAGAGTGG